TTAGCTTAAATCAGCCACAACTCCTGGAGTGTGGAGAACCGATATGGTCATGCCACGAATCAGACTTCAAATCAAGTAATAATTCTTTATTGCTTATAATATACTTTTCCAGTAGAATGGAATTTAACATTAACGCCTCCTCAACCTTATAAATAAATACTTGGGATAAATATGAACCAAGATTCGGTTCGTGCGTGCATCCAAGTGCACATAACTGACTAAATTTTTTCTATTAGTTATGCGGTTCCTATAATTCGACTGATGAGAATGTCAATGTTTGGTGAGCCAATAACATAAAAATTTCCAAGAACCGCAAAGGTCCTCAACCAAATGTTTGCGAGCTTTCGAATCTTAGGAAATTATCAAACTGATTAACAATCGGTAGGACTTATTAATTCCACAATTGGAGAGATTTGGGAGGATAATTTAGCATACAATATTCGTGATGTGGGCTTGTCATTGTAGTCGTAATGTCAAAAACCACACGACCTGTAAGCAAATTAATATCATCATGGTTTTACTACAGCAATAAGTACAAAATGTGCAATTCTTTTAACTTTGCAAACTTGTCCGATTGTTTACCACAAGGTGAAATATTTATGGCATTGATTCTCAAAACGTATGGTCAAAGTTTCTAAAATACTTACTAATTCATGATTCATAAATATTGTACAGATTAAATTATCTCCCAAAAAAGTAGATAAAAGTGAGTCTCGTCTTGACTCTGAAAAAGGAGTCAAAAACTACTTTCTTGGATTGTGATATTTTATTTGTATAAAAAAAACTTGTCATCGTATCAACTGTGACTCGAAATGAATTGTTTCATTATCACGATGTCGATGTGGTTGGGTGTGATCTCACGACATTGCAACAATGGATGACTGAATGCATAGGAGGTGAAATCTTGACAGAAACAAATCTGATCTAATTGTCTCATGTTCCTCTTCCATCTAGTTTGACATTCTGTAAACAATCGGTTTCGAATTCAAAATTCATGTGAAGTTGGCATGCTTTAAATATCGAAAAGTGCGTCAAAGAACACCGGCAAGAAGAGAAGGAAAGTTGGTAGTAACAGCAAAGTGATAATGTACAATAAGTATAGCATGCCACTAATCTTAAGCGAAAATTATTCGTAAGTACATACATACATATATACCTGTATACGTTGTATGCACGCATTCCATGCCAGACAGTGAAAATGCACTTTGGCTGCTTCCTTATACACTTTAAATTATCCCCAATATCAGCTATTGAAAATAATTGTGATTTTTCAAAACTTAAAATATAATGCTTACCTTTTTCATGTGCTAACTAACTACTTACAATCACCTAAGATTTGCAGTTTGAAAAGTAAACCTCATTTACTTAATTATTTGAATGCAAAATGCAGTGTAATTTTTCCATGAGCAATTTGCAGGTTGGATAGTAGGTCGTCGGTGGTGGTTGTTGTATTATTATTCACTGTACATAAATACATGTGCATATTGCATACTATGTTAGGATGGATGGATAGTAGTTGCATCAATGTACGATTGTTGGTAAACTAAGAACGTCCTGATCTGCATTTATGCACACTCATTGTAGTCACCTCAAAACTTAAGACAGGTCTGTACTGCCATTTCATGAGCACCGCTAAATCATTCATCTGTGTCATTCATTATACTTCATTATCAGCCAACACTTCACAAAAATGAACCACAAATGTACCAACAAAACTAAACCAAGATGGCCCTCAATTTTGAAGGGTTGGAAAATTATCCCAATTTTTTATATCTGTCCATCCACTTGGTTGTTCATGCACTGTAACCAAATCAAATTCATCTGATGCACTACACAGCATTTTGACCCAATACGGCTTCTAGCGATAAAATTGCATTGATTTTTGCCAACCTATAATATCAGAGATTATCTGCAAGGGGTTATGATTAAGGAATAACATCCCCTGCATTTGCCCTTTTGCAGGTTCTTATTCTAAAATTGTGGAACCATTCAATATCACCTTTGCACCGTACCCATTACAAATTTGAGAATTTATCTCCGTCTCCATATTCAGCAGTGTGTATGGCAGCAGAGGCAAATCAAATGAGCCACTTTAAACCACGTCCACCGACACCTCTAGCAAACAAGTATTGTTCACGAAGGTGATTTATGAATGTACGATCAAACCACAAGCAGGACTGGATTGCAAATTCTTCATTCATTCCTCCTCTGCTACGGCGACCAAAGAATAATTCTGCATTGAAATTTTGCTCTTACATAGAATTTCTTGAAATCGAAGTTGTAGTTACCAATTTCCTCATAAGTTGAATGCTTAATATTGCACCAGCCAACTGCCACGGTTTAAACTCAAACAGGTTGGATGGATGGAAACAACAGCAATTTAAACTCGTGCAAATGTGATCATTTTTGCTATTTGTTGTAGTAAACAGTAGTGCAAAAGCAGTCTGTAATTGATACGTGCTCGATAGAGAAAAGAAATCTGTGCACATTTTGAGGGTGTATGTACATGCAGTGAATAAGGGACATTTTGCATGCATGAATGAACCAAATCATGGGATGTAATATTTGTATGTACAATATGAACAAGAAAGAACACGAGAGAGTAAAGTGGAGCACCACGAAAATGTTGATACTGCTGCCGCATAGAAGGACCGGTAATAATGATTTGCTTCATAAATTAACTCAACAGACCAGTCTGGGGTCTTCAGCATCTTTGGTTCCCTTCTTGTTTCCTATTACTGGTTTGACAGTCGGTTTTGTAATGGCAGGAAAATGCCAAACCAGTAAACTAAACCTATTTTTCCTACTTAGGAGGAAACTATGCGAGGTTTGCAATCACAAATTGTAATCCCTTTTTTCAAAAACAAATTAAGACTGATCTGCATGTTACAAAGAAACTATTAAAACTATTAAGGTTTTACATATCTAGCGAAAAAGATGAATTTTTAGTGTTTTTCCCTTTTGGGCGTATGTGCCGGGTGCAATATAGCTCATGGAGTAAAACGGTTTTAACTTTTCTCACAATGTCAAAAGGGCATTAAAATCTGTGATTGGAAACTTCGCGTGGTCTCTTCCGTGGGAAGCCTTAGTTTACATTTGCTTATTGTTAAATTAAATTAAATGAAAATATTATATGCTTTTGAAGCTAATAATCGATCATCTAACTCTGAATCACTGATCTTGTTTGACATGTCAGTTTCAAATATTGTGGCGTTTAGTGTGCATAACATTCTTAAATAATAATCACCTGCAATAATAATCACTTGTATTCAATTTTAACCCCTATTGACACAAAGTAAGTAATTTGTTTTGATGATGACGTGAACTTACCGTCATTAAAATGTTATCCTTTATGTTACCCTTTTACTTTGTTTGTAAAAAACATCTTAATCAAGTTGCACCTTCAAAAATTTTGGCATTTAATAAGTTTTCAGTGGAACTCTTTAACAATAAAAAACGTACAATATTCGCATACAGCCAGCAACGGGTGACGGTGCAATTTGCAAATTTTTTTCCCTCTAAAAATGCAATTAGGGTCAACGCTTGCTTGTCCATTTTTTACATGCACGTATGTAGTTCAAAGTTTTGCTACACTATTTATTTTGTCGTAATTTCTCAACTGAAATTTATAGCCAATCATATTGTACACGGTGAACTTGATCAAAATGATGCATGGCAAAGTAAGTAGGTAATTGTTGATGAGCTTCAAGTCATAAGCCACGACTTTTTATTTCTCCCATGAGTCCTCATTTTTAATCATGTTCATACGGACAAAGAAAATAATTCGACGTTCACAGATACGAATGGTACGATCAATGATTATGGTTTGCACATTTTTTGACTCTCATCTTCCCGACAGAGGATAATAAAGACACGGGGATAACAGAAGAAAGTACAATAGCAGGTAACGGCTCGCCATCGAAAGCAGTGGGCATACATACACAGGTTATCTAGCCATTTAAATTTCCATTTAACCGATATTCTATAAAATTATTTCCTTTCATCCATTCGTTCACTTTGCAATTCATGGCGTAGCGTAGTAAATACCAGCGATGGTCTCTCTGTCGTACATATTAAGTTACCAACTAATGTCGATGCTAGCTATGAAAAATTCTTATGAATCGTGACTCTGACGATAGATCGTTAATTGTTGCTTTTAAATCTTACCGAGTTCTGAGATCGGTTTCAATGTGTGTGTATTTACAAGTCGAGAATCTGTGTGAGAAGATCACGACTGATATTTATCATGAGGAGTGAATTTGATTGAACGGGAACAGTCAAAGATTTAACGAAAATCTGACTGTCAATCGGAAAATATTCATTGATTTTGCATTATAAACACAAAATACCGCTTAACAAGTCGAGAACTTAAATACCCAATTTGCACCCCTCAATTAGTTTATTCTTCTTGATAAATGTTTGTCTGACATTGGAAATTGTGACAAGAGACAAAATCGAAAGAAGTTTTCATGCAGGTAGATTTTTTAAATCATGTAATTACAGATAGTCCTCAAAGTATAAAATTATAGCATTAATCCTTTCACACATTAATCTTAAAATCTTTAGATAGAAAATAGAATAAAAACTTGTACCGCGTATTTACTGGTAGTACGTACGTATGGCATTCTCCTACATATTCATCTTCTTTTCATGTTCAGCACTAGAAAGCATTCCTTTATGTGTTTTTTGCTCAAGGTGTTAAGCATATGCATACATTGTACATAGATGTGTTCTATAAATAACCCGTTTTATAAATCTTACTTTAGAAAGGTCTTGTGGTTATTCTACGAAAAATTAAGTATCTTCATAAATGTATTACTTTGTTCTTCATCAGTGTGCTAGAATTTCGAATAAAATAAAAACGGATTTACCTACAAATTGGGGAACGATTGTATGCATTATGCAGATATTATGAAGATATTTCCTGCTTGCGACTTTAAACCAGTTCTAGTTCTCGAATTCCCAAATGAGTAGATATGAATATTTTCGTATCTTCTTACCTCAAGAATGCGACTCCAACCTTTCTCATTTCCCAATTTCAACTTTGTGAATATCCTGTGTCTCCAAATTCATTTATGACACATTTAAGTCAATACCCGTCACTTTGAAAAATTCTCAAATTTTATACTTTATATTCCGGGAAAGACCACAAAGACATAAACACAACAAAGTTTATAGCTGTGTGTAATTATTTATTACTTCAAGTATGTGGAATGGCCCTGTTATCATCATCCTTTTCGGCTTGGTCACACCTGACGAATTCACTTAAAATCCTTTGTTTTCATAAAAACAAAGACAATAAAGCCGTTTAATCTGCCGGCATCTCAAGGCACTTAAGCCTACAACACTCTGTGTGAGTTTGTGACAGTTGTGTCACAAGGATTTGCGGTTTATGTCATAATTTTGGAAATAAAGTTATTTAATAAATTTAGAAACATAAAATGTCAAGATTTGGAATAGAGCACGTGTATTTCTTTCTAAACTATTTAGCACCATTAAATTGCGGTCCGTCATCCGCCGTTATGCATTTTATGCATGTAGTCACAGCACAATTATCCGTATAATATTTTTGCACATTGTACTCGGTCGGAATTGTAATGTTGTGTCAGTCTATGATCGTTTTAGCAGAAAAACGTCTCGCTACAATACAGAAAAACCACACTAAAACATGGCACTTGGATTGTCGGCAAGTATTTTATTTAACAGCCACAAGTCTCAGGTTTAGCAAGATTGTTGAAAGAACATGAATATTCCCGTTTTATTTTATTACTTATTTCGATGTTGTGAGCTTGAACAAAAAATGTTGACTCAAGATATGCACATGAATACGTATGTAGCTTCTCAACACAATTTTCAACGGGATGACACCTCAGACAAACTTGTGCTAAATTATAAATTCACGTTCACAATAATTTCAACATATTAGTAACACCAATGTCAAACAAGGTAAGTTTTTTCTGGGAAAATCCTTAAAACGATTCTTCTACATGAGACACTTTACTGTCGCAAATTCTCTCACCGCACTTCAGTGTTCACGTTCCTTTAATCTCAATTCAAGGAAAGACCTCCTCTCGAACAATTGTTATTTTTCTCTCACATTTGATGAACGATACGAACTAAGAACAATGTGCATATTTCATCACATGGAAGTCCAGTGTCGAAAATTTGGCTGTAGACTAGTGACCTACTAGTAAACACGTTTATGACTTCCTTTCTTGACTTTGTGAGATGAGGATCATGCAGAAGGCGAGAATAAGGTTTCCCTTCTTGAGACTCGGTTCGCATGCACGAAATTGGATGGAAGATGGAATGACAAAAACAATTTTAAGTGCGATCAGTCCCGTTATGTTTCATATACCAGTTCACGTTAACGTGCACGGTTTACGATGAGTATCCCCGGTTTCAGGTTGATTAGAATTCGTATTGCTTTACGATGGAAATTATGGCTGTGTTGAAACTAGTCAAACTAATAGATTTTTAGTGGTCCAAATGGTCCAAATCCAGTAAAGATGAGGTTATATTATCCGTTGTGAATAATGCCGGGTACTCTCGTTACCAAGCTTTTGTATGCACATAAAAAAACTCCACTTCACCAAAGGTCTCACAATATTGTTCTAGTTCCGGCGTTTCTTTATAAACGGAAGTATGGAAAACTTAACATGGATCTGGGACCAAATAATCTGATGGCACAACCAGGAAGAACTTCTGCAGATGAAACTTTGAGCAGTGCCATTACCAAAGTGCAACTGAAGACATGCAACTCAAAAAAGTGTGTTGGCCTACCTGTCTCTATCTCTCTCTCTCTTTGGCTTTCTAGCATATTTCATTGCACTCAACTCTCCTTAAGTATTGTGGCACCTTTACCTGGTTGAACCATTCACCAAATTCAATTCGACCAACAACGTTCACTACCTGTCTCGTCCTCGTTTTCTTGTGCCATGCACTGTGTGCAATCTCACCAAGCAAAATAAGCCTTGGTACCTTCCTAATGAAATGAAGTTTACTTGAAGCACCACTCTGAGCTGCTATATCTTCTTCCTCCCCATCCCAGTCATAAACAATAATATTGATATAATTTCATACCAACATATTCAATATTCCTTCTTACCCCTTCTTCTCCAAGTGTACAAAGTGTCAATGCTATGATAAATACCTACACATGTACATATGTTCATATGTAAATGCATATATGCAAATCTCAAATTTGCATGCAAATAATTTTGTACATGTGCATATTCCGGATGTCGCGTCGTGTTGTGGATGTCATTCATACATTAATTAATTGCAATTAATATCTGGAGCAAATTACGCAATCGAAGATTAGATCTACTAGATTTACTACTATGCTCATGTATCAATCAAGTAAAAGTAGAAGAAAACTTGGTATCGAATTCCCACGCTCTCAAAGCAATGGGGTGTTAGCTGCATGTGTGTGTTATCTCTGGACGGATTATGTTGCGTCATTTTGTGATGTACGATGATGATAATCCAACCAGGAAATGCAGTTGCAGTTAACGATCAGACTACTACCAGTTGCTAACCACACTGTATTAAGTTCATGTAGAACCATGAGAGTGGCATTATACGAATGCGTTAACATGCGAGTAGTACCATATGGCATATGGTCTAAAAAAATAACTCTAGTTTTTACAAAACTACACGGACCTAGGACACATCTTCTCCAAAAATAGTGGAAGGGTCTTTATCCACAAGAATCGTGACAGGTGGACGTATAATCTCCCGTCGTAGGGAGTTCCTGATTGCTTCCTGTTTCGTCAAACATTAACAACCAACCAAACAAAGGGTACACAAATTTTGGGTCGTTTCAAGCATTTCTTGGATCCTCGAGTGTTTGCTTAGTCATTTTACCCTGTTTTAATTTTGATGTATCAATTGTATGTCATCAGATGAAATATTAAAATACTATGTAAAACAGGAATGAATCTTCCACACTGTCCGCAAAATATTTTAAATGCTGTTCAAAAATAATAATGTTGGTTTACGATTTTCCGGTTTTACGTGCTACCTATGTACAGATATGCACAGACGTAATGTGATTAAGCAAGTATACTTATTTAAATTACCCTAAAACACATGGAGTGAGTTGCATAACTAGAAATACGGCTTCAAAATATCCGGTTTTTTGTTTCAAATATGTAGGCACTTCTTGCTAATGATAGGTTTTTGGTTAGGCTTTTATCTAATGGGTTCTTTACATTAACACTTGCATCACGAAATATTGGATCATCAAAGAAACAAATAAAACTTCATCATGACGAGCACTGACGAAATTTAGGTTTGCATTCTGGAGTCAACAAACCCGGTCAACCAACTTCATGCGTTATGATCACGCTTTTGAGTTCAGGGACTGATCTGAAATGCGGAAATAAAATTGATCTAAATCGTGTGTTATGTGTGGAAATTAAGTCAATCCTAAAGTTCGATTAGGAAACATTTATAATGTGTAATTTATCATTAATATATTGTAGTAAAGTTGGAGACGTCATAAATCAAAGTTACAAATTGAACAACGATAAAGCGTGAATTAATAGAGATTTAAACAATTCCATTCATATTCTCAATGCATATACATACATACTTATACATAATTTTGATGCAATATATCGACCATGCACGTAGGCTTTATGTCGACTAAAATTCGGAGTCTATGTCAAAGACAAAAGCTGTGCTGCTCACGCAACTTTGAAGAGTCTGAAAAGCAGTGTCAGAACAAAGTGAGAACATCTCACTCCAACTCTTTCGTCTGTGAAGCACTATGCAAACTAATTTACCAAGCCAGTTACAGGAATGCACACCAGATTACTCCATAAGGAATATTTGCTCGATGTTTTGCATGCTATCAGAACTTTTAGTTATTAGCATTACATTTGTAGATCGGTTGCATATGTATGATAACTGTTGCTGATGTGCAATAGAAAATTCATGTAGTTCTCGAACACGTCAATTTGTAATTGTATTTATTATCCAGCATGAGTACTCTATTTTTCTATACAATCTTATATTTTGATATATGTACAAATTTAAAATTTGTATATCGCATAAAAAACACAAAAATGATGACATCATTATTCAGCAATAATGTTTGATTAAATTGAAATGACATTGTCATCCAACTATTTCGATTAAAATATGATGGGACCATTTTAATTTCACTAGGATTACTACACTTCTAGGATTCACTAGTGAAGACATGAAAAGTATGTACACAGTTAAAAATTCTCATTCGAACTTTTTGCTGGATGGATTTAATTGCATGCATATTTTGCTTTCGTACACTGAAGACCATGAATTAAATTGGCTATTCAACTATTCTTTTGACTATTCTTTCAACAAACGCTTTTCAAATTGTTCTGGACCTCTCTCTGAAGAAACTTATTAACTGCATGCATACTGTGTACATACGCGTCCAGTCCTGCAGCATGTTTACTTATCTGGTCAACGTACGTCGGTGGAGGTTGGGGAAACTTAAAGACTTTCTGTTTTGGTTGGTGCAGAAAATGCGTAGGATATTTACATGCTGTTACGTATAACCAAGAGTTCTCTCGTTACGACATCAAGAGAAACCTGTCCTGTTCAAGTAAATATCTTTCGGCTTACGTTAATACTCATGAGAGATTCCTCCTCGTATGAGGAGCATGAATTTTAGTAATCATCATACTTAATGGCATGGAGTTTTTGGATGAATTTAAGCTGTTGTTGATAGTTGTCCATGTCTGTTGCACTTTCTGTGTCGACTGCTTGGATTCAATTCTGTATCTGTTCCACTCTTGTTTAATTTTCCAGCAATGACGAGGTCTTGTTGGTCCCATCATCGGATTATGTATATTCTCTCGGACCAAATACTTATTGGTTTCCTATCTGATCTGCAAAGCGATTTAGATTCGATTTCGTAGTGCAATTCAGTGTTTTTATTCTAGTTGGGAAGTTACAACCGACCGGTATTTCCAGTGCTTATATATTGACTGTGACCTTTCTACAGCAGTGGGGAACTTTTATATTCCTTATGAAGTTAAAGTGAACACGTGGACGAGACGAAGTGTGTAACGAATACAAACAAAAAAGATTTAAACCAAGATATCAAGTTTTGAAAACAAAGGGGGTCATGCAACTGTTTGTTTAAATATTCTAAAACATATATCAAGAAGATCATAAAAAATGTTAGTGGAAAAATGCTTCTGAGAAGGAGCTCACTTTTTTCTGAAATAAAGTGCATTGTGCAAGTAATATTAAGCAGTCGAGGAGGTTAAAGCTGATTTGCATGGAACATGGCAGCGTAGGCGACATTATTCATGCAGCTTTCAAATCCGCAATTAATTTGTATTATGCCTTCAAGCGACAACGAACTAGGAGAGGCAGTGACAATCGCCTGCAGTTAAGACGACTGTACTCCAATTGTTGCATAGTGTCAAATTCAGTGTCAACAATCGCATAACTTGTGCGAATTGTATAATTTATAATGGTTTAGGACTAAGCGACTGAGCATATGCATATTGCATGAATATGCACACAGCTTAGTTTAGTAGATGACATTTCTTGAGACTGTTTGAAAAATTTTTGCATTCTGTTAAATTTTTGGATTTACACCAACACTAGATCTGCTGTCAGTAATCAGCCGAAACTACCGATAACGTTTACTAAAATCATACTGTATGCTTTAAGATTTTGAGTAAACAAAATATATAAATCATATTACGTTTATGACAATCTACAGTTGAAGTGTAAATATAACTGAAAATTATAATTAAAATGTTAACCGTTCTACAGTCAGTGTTAAAAAATCGGAATAACTCAATATTCACTTTCCTGATTTGCTCGAGTGAAGTGTTCGAGTCTTGAGTAGATAAATCAATGAGCAGGTTGTTTAAAGTGTTTAAAAGTAGATATAAGAACCTACAGCATTATGTCATGCCTAAATGTCAACTGAACATTTTATTGCTATTGTTATTCATGTGAACGTCTATTATGTGTATTATAATACCTGCACCAGCAATGTACAATTTACAAGACTCGCTCGGCTGAAAAAAGCCGGGTGGAAGTTGCAGTCGTCGACTTTATTACATATTCTCGCAACTTTATTACTTGACTAATGAGTGGGGACCTAGTAAAAAATATGCTCACCACCTCGCATCATCACCAGTCTGTTTATCACGTTATTAAATTCATTATCACGTTTTTAGCAAGGAGCTTCATCTAAATCGCGATTATCGTGCATAACAAAACTGTTGCAAACAACAGAGACAGAGTACTTGCAGAATTTTCTTGCTGAATAAATAATCGCACAGTCAAACTCACTTGTATAGTGATTGGATAGAGGAGGTATGAACGTGCTAAAAAGCAAGGAATACATCCATATTGACTTACTGCCCCCTACTGTTCAGCTTGTTCTTGAAATTTGTTATACAGGTCTTGTTAAAACCAGCTCCATCATACATTATCGGTTACACAAACGCCGGATGAATTGAAATTAAATTAAGTTGATGTTAATATGAAGACGGAAAGAAGAGGTCCAACCAACGTACTGACTTAGCTTCAGTCCACCAGACTGAGGAGACAGAGAATGCATAATTTGCTCTTGTTTCACACTTGGAGGACTCTGCTAATACATACATACACATTCTGCTAAATATGTATGGAATATCACCATCGTCATCACCAGGATCGACACAGAGTGCTGCGGATAATGTGATCAAAATCCAGTCACTGGATCAGAACATTGCCGGCTAGATCGGTGCTGGGAGTTGTGTCGATGTGATTAGTGCAGCAGAGTGGAAAAGTGATAGTTTATTTTAAAATGCATGTGCACATTAGAGCTACAACTACTAATTGTGTTCTGAAGGTGACAAAGTGAGAAAAATTCTAACAAATAAACCAACACTGCCTGTGTTCAAGTTGCATTCCAAAATGTTAGAGTGCAAATTATTACCCAGCACCCATCAATGGTGGCTCTCTTTAAATGTGGCGATGTGTGCCATATTCCTACTGATGCACACTTGTCATGCCGGTCGTAAGTCTTGAAACTAGCTAATTAATTTTCTACCTGCTTTATGAAGTCTATAAAGAAAAAGCTTTCATTTTTTGATCTTTGTCATTTAATTTTGTTCACTCCGGAGAAAATTTAATCCTTACCTAGAGTGGAGAATGGAGATGTTATGTTTCACGTTACAAATGTACATTCAGGTTAAATGTTATCATTTCGAGTAAATAAAACATCAGTAGCTCATATACATATGTACAGTCTGCTGTTGCATCAAACTGACAACCCTTTCATAACGGTGTGAATATTATGTATTTGGGCATATCGATAAAGCATAGAAACTACTTAATAACAAATAGATACTTCCACTTTATGGAGGTGGTTGCGGATTTGTTTGTTTGTCATAAACATAGGTAAATACGTATGTATGTAAATAGGTATATTGCTTATTATTAGTACTGCCAATATATTTGCCCTTTTGCCATTTAATCTGCATATTGGAAACAATCTAATGCTATATAGTAAGAAAGAATCACAACACTAGAGGAGATTACTTACATTTTTGCAAAAATCTTAAGAAACTACAAGCACCAAGTAATATTCAGCGATGTTTGTGGCAGTGCAAGAGCTACAACGCGTAGAAGTGCTATGAATGAATTATGATCATGTAGTAAGACGACGCTGTGATGTGCAACTTGAGAGGGTTTTTGTTGATATAATAATAATCAGTCGTTCAAATGGTACACACATTGATGATATCAGAACTATTTCTGCCTTCAGCAATGTTTAAGTTGCATTGCCTCAAGTAGCATTAATTGACCGAGTTGAGATGCTCAGCTATAGAATGCAGGATAATAATTTGGAATTTATGCTAGTAATCAGAGACGTCTGAGTTTTTTTGTGAATAGGCAAAATGTAGGTTCTCACTGGATTTATTATTGTTACTCGACTATGACGATGATTATTCCTTCAATCGTTTTTTTACATATCCAGATAATTCTGGTTGCGTTGTTGTTGGGACCGTAATGTCTAAAACGTGTATCTGTACTGAATTAACTAATAGAGTATGCACAATACGCATGCATTAAATAACGTGTGTATGTGCCATGTGAGATGTTAATAACTACACGTAATGACGACCAACTATTATGGAATTAAAATGCATGACCTTATTTGAGCCAAACCGTGATTTTGCAGCGGATTACTGCATGATGCCTCCAGATCGGGGCAACTGTACGGAAGTATTATACAAATATTATTTCTCTCCGGAATATACACATTGCCCAATGTTCGTCTGGAGTGGGTGCGAAGGAAATGACAACAGATTTGATGATCGCCACTCATGTATGCAAATATGTACGGGAAATTATACCGATGAGGAAGTCAGAATGGGTGTGCCTTTTATGAGTCCGACTGTTTCTAGTAAAACTGCGACAGGTATCATAAACAATTCGAAAATGTTAAGCCCTAGTCAGGCAAAAACAGCATTCTCGTCATAACAAACTAATTACTCGCATACTATTACGTGTGTATGTACTATTAGGTAGTGACGGAGATAGTCTAAATAATGTAGTGTAGTCGTGTTAGTCTTGTAGTTTTATAGGCACCTAAATCAATTACAACAAGCTATAACAGTTAACATAAAGAAGTGACATTTATTTAATAGTACATAATGGTGATGGTTGGTTTAACTGCTTTGGAAAATTGCAAGTTTTGAGAAGAATGTATGCACATTTATTTAATTTAAAAACCCTTCCTGAAGTTCCTGACAGTGTTGAATATGACGATTCTCACCCAAAGGAATATTCAGTGTCTCCATTTCTTGTCCTGGACAATGGAACGCAACAATCCACATTTACATTCACAACTTCTTCGTCTTTCATCCAGATAGAACCACAAGAATTAACAGATTACCAAATTAGGTGTGTATATGCAATTAAATATTATTCGTATTAACTCGGGCTGTGTTTTAAAACTTGTCCATCCATCATCATCATCTTTATGCAATACAATATCTGTCAAAAATTTGTGAATTTTAGAAATCGCAGAAGCGTCTCTTTAGAGTTTCGGACTCGTATACCTCATGCTTTATTGGTTTATCATGGCCTACGCAACAGACCAGATTCAATTAAAAAGTACGAGTTGTACGTAATGTTGGATCAAGGCCAACTGAAAATAAAACACAAGTTTGGGGACTTTACGACAACATTAATTGTGGGAAAAGGTCTCAATCGGGATCAGTGGCACAAAGGTTAGTGATAAAATTAAGATTTACACAATTTGTCAATATATTCACAGTTCTATGGGACACCACCCCATACGAAGGTGTCAGTTAATCGTGTCTCTGAGAAGACCAAGTGAGCATGCTGACGTTCTAAAAGAACGGTTCTAAAAGTTGTTGGAAAGATTGTGATGTTTGATCCTAATTAAATTTCAGTCCGTGTGATGATTGATCCTAGTGAACGCCGTATCTCAGCGATAGTCGATGACGTCGAGAAAGAAATGGAGATTGATGGATTGGCAGAACATCATTTATACGGAGCTTACGATGTAGACCTTGAGTCAATTATCTTTATTGGGGGTGAGCTTAGTTTGCATTGTAATTACGTATACTTTAGTAGTCGGCGGATATTGTTCTGCAGCTTGACAATCTTTCAATGTCATGGTGGATGCATTCTGCTGAAATTTGTGACGAGAGATATGAAAATTGATCCTTTAAAATGTTTAGGCCTAAGTGAAGGCGATGGCAATGTTGGGATTTCCTACTTTGCAAATCCATTGGTCGGATGCCTTCGAAATGTCATTCTTGAGACGTCACCCTTGAAGACGAGTACCCTGGAGCCGTTGATACCCTTGGTGTCTGGAGCATATAAAAATATTGACGAACATTGCTACAATAAATGTTGGTCCCGAGATTCGGGTTGTTCTAGGTGGGTGCCCAAATAAACATTTTGCACGCAAAAATTTCTCAATGTGGCGAAAATCTGCTGACCTTTATGTATTCCACGTATTTAGAGACAGCGAGTGCATCAACCACTATGATCATGTTGAATGCGATTGCTTCGATGCCAAATTCAAAGGAGATAGCTGCAAGGATACGAGTAAATATTTTTATTGTTAATTTGCCAAGTACATTTCTTATCAACTTTCGGTTTGCAAATATATGCTAAAAACATGTACCTATTAATACAATATTGACTAACTAGCACTAGTTAATAACTGAAAAACATACCTATAAAAAGAAGTTTTCCTGTTTTATTCAAGGTGAAATAATCTTAACGTTGAACGGGTACTCATACGTTACATTCGCTATTTATGAATGGATGGACAGGTGAGATTATGAATATAATATTCAGATACACAAATATGTGAATTTTCATTTATTTATTAACAAAATTAATGAAATTATTCAGAGTTCATTCAGACTCCAACAGAATCAGTATGCGTTTCATGGTATGCGAAAAACTGTGCATCTTAAGTTATATGCAAACCAATAAGATCTAACTCTTCATCCTTATTATGCATTATTATCAGACACAATTAGATGACTCAATTTTATTCTATGCTGCTGGAGAAATTCCATTTCACAATCATGTTGCCGTGTCCGTGTTCAATAACAGCCTCCTCGTCGACATTGATTTTGGAGATGATGAACCTATTGTGGTGAAATTCACTACGCGTGTTACTGATGGGGTATTCCACTTAATCTTATAAGATGTTAAACTAATGTGAACTACATAATTCAAATCAACTTTCAAATTAACTTTAATACCAACTCATGTATAGAAATGGCACACCTTGACGATTTTGCATGAGGAAATCGACATTGCAGTTCACTTGGATAAAACTGTTCAAAAGTTTACATTAACAGGGCCGAATCGATACCTTTACATTGATCCGGATGTGTACCTTGGTGGCGGAGGCTTAAACCTGAAGCATCGCAATGGGCTCAAGTCGTTCAATAACTTTGTAAGATGAAATTCTATTAAATAGTCATGTAGTGTAATTACAAATTGAGTATCAGCCTGTGAATAGGGATTTATAATTTCAGGTTGGTTGTTTAGAGGAAGCCTATTTTAATACAAAGTCAATTTTATTCGAATTGCGACAACACAGCCACCAAGTAATGATCATATTTTACTTTATGCGTACATAGTAGCGATACTAAAAATATGAGTAGTTAATTATTGCTATAATTTTCACAGGCTCAGCATCACGGTACGGAAAAGATAGGTTTGATGGTTGGATAATAATGTATTATAATACCAATATTTTTTAAACATATTGCAGGTTTAATGCCACCCGAGTTTAATAACTGCAACCCAGAGAAAACCATTCCAATTACAATCCCTTTTGCAGATTCTGGCTTCAAAGTTTCTAATCCTAATGCTACCGAACTTCATTTAAAATTTTCTTTTAAAACAAATGAGACTTATGCAACTCTAGCGTACTCTGATGTTCGTACAATGATTGGAGAAGGTTTTTGGGAGGTACAACGCTTGAAGGATTAGTTTGTCTGGTTTATATAAATACAAATGTATATTACTTGCAGCTCAAATTTAGCCCTAGTGCTTTAATTTTCGAATATTTTCCGGATAAAAGCCAAACGCAATATACCACTCCCACGCAATTTGAGGTTAATTACAAAAAGAGACAAAACTATTGGCACACAGTAAATATTTTTCTCAGCTACTTATCTTATGGCAAGTACTTGTGGCAACAATTTACAAAAATTTGTTGTGGCATTCCATAGATTGAGCTGCAGATAAAAGGGGGTCACGTATCATTGACTGTGGATGGCCAAAGTTCCGAGCAAGAAATATCACACTTGCAGCAGTTATCAGCAGTGATTACTTTGGGGACATCCGTGTACAAACCAAACGATGGCTTCCTTGGATGCATTCGACGGGTTGAAATTGGAGGAAAGTTTATCGATGCAAGAACTATAGTTGGGTCTGACGACCAAATTGGAGATATTGCCCTTGATAACTGCCAATTCATGGATCCTTGTAACCGTCCAGATGTTTGCGAACATGGTGGAATTTGCAAAGTTATCGATTCAAATGTAACTTGTGACTGTCGTGATAGCGGGTAATTATAGTTCATTGCATAAGTATCCTGTCATATATTTTGAAAATAAATGATATATATTCAATGTATTTTTTAAAGGTACACTGGAAAGCATTGTCATTTTGGTAAAAATTCAACGTATCAAAAAAATTGCTGCATACATACATTTATTGTGACAATTACGTATTTATCAAATATAGCAATTTTCAAACGCACTTGTGAAGAGCTGGCATTATTGGGTTACACGGAATCTGGAGTATACAAAATTGATATTGACGGCAACGGCCCTTACCCTCCCACACATGTCAAATGCAAATTTGAAACTGGTGACACCGGTGAAACGAAGACAATTGTGGAACATAATCTTGCCAATGAAACCGATGTTTGGGGGATGAACAAATCAGATTTCAAGTTGGAATTAAGCTATCGCGAATTTACCTCAGAAATGCTTTTGTCGCTCATTTCTCAATCTGTTCAGTGCAGCCAACACATCAAGTTTGACTGTTTCAAAGCGAAATTAGGTAAGCTTGTTAGAATAAGTTAACTAATTTTTAAGGGGAATTACATATACGTTTTAGTTATTTGTTAATATTATATAATTAGGCTTGTACCAATTTACGTGGTTCAAGTCTGCAGATCCCAATGCTCCAAAAGTCGTCAGTATTGGAGATGCGAGAAGAAACACGTGTCCATGCTATGAAGGTCCATAAATAAAAGAAAGATTTAATTTTATAGTTTAATTAAGGAAATTTTTTGTAACACTTTTGATATTTAATCTATAGCCGATACTTGCGTCAAGGGGGAACAATGCAATTGCGATTCTGGAGAGGATAAATGGTTGCATGACGAAGGCTATTTTACAGCTCCTGATCGACTTGGTATAACTGAATTAAGTTTCATCTATCCACGGGACAGTTCATCAGATGCAAAGGTAATGCAAATCCATACAAAAACTAGTGCTATCATTCCATGACAGTTACGTGTCAACTAAGGACAATAAGCCATTTTGTCTTCAGCAAGTTAAATCGTGTTTCCCCTGTTTCAGGCCAGGATAACCTTAGGTAAGACTGGAACAATCGAACTCTGCTCTAATCCAAATTTAATAGGACAAATTGAGACTATTTAAGACTAATGTCTCCTTCTTTCTTTTAGGTCCATTGGAGTGTGTAGAAGCAAGTAAGCATAATAAAAATTATAAAATACATATTTACATACATACCCCACCTATTTATGCAGCGTTTACCCATGACTTGTTGTGCAAGATTATTGCATATTTCGTTGCATTTTTCTGATATTTTAAAATAAAATATTTTTCAGATACTCAGAGATACGTAGTGACATTTAAGACTTTTGGATCTTATCTGGAAGCTCCCGGATGGAAATCTGGTGATTTGGCCTTCAGTTTTAGAACAACAAGATCTTCTGGAATTCTTCTATATCAACCACTGTTGCATCAGCAACATAATTCTTTCTCTGTATTTTTAACCAATGGTATGCAATTTCCATGCAAAATATGCATTTCGCCTGGTATTTACATGTACATGAACCAAAATTGGGTCACTTGCAGATCATGAGCTTACTTTCCGCTTTGTCCTGAATGGGAGACCCCAACCAACAGTGACTGTTCGATCCCAAAGGTCTTTATCTGGTGGTGATTGGCAGCAAGTCTGGATCGATTATGTAAAGTTGATTTTAAAAAACAATTCATTTCGTCAATACATTAACTGAGATTCGTTGACAATAGGATTTACATCAAGTTAGGTTCCAAATAAACCGAGAACATCAAATGATTAATTTACCTGACGGGTAAGATACTTTCGCATTTATCTTTTAGTGCAGTAGAGATGTAACAAAATTAGTTGATGCATTATATTACAATAAACGTATTTAATTAAAATTTAGCCAACAATTTGGACCGTTTGAAGGGATCATGTATATCGCCGGCGCACCTGCGTATGTTAAATATCTTGTCGAATTACAAAATTGAGGAGGGCATAATATTAATTAATTATTGTCGCATTTTATAGGAGATACTTGCCTGAAATCCATGTTAAGGAGGGATTAATAGGTTGTTTCCGAGGGTTAGTGATGAATAACCAAGTGGTCGACCTTTACTCGTACATGAAATTTCATAAGGCAGACATTGTCAAAGACTGCAGTCCCTCTTGCGACCCTAACCCTTGCCAAAACAAGGGCATTTGCCAAGAAAATTGGGGGTCATTTTCCTGCCAGGTTAGCTTAGATTAAACCTTACAATAATTCACTTGGTTTGAATTTTATGTTTTTAACTACAGTGTTCAAATCCTTGGGCTCACACTGGGACGCTATGTGAAACAGGTATGTGTGTACTTTAATATACAATATGTCTTCCTAGTGATATGCAACAATGTTCATATAAATTATTGATTACAGATATAAATAATGATGGGTTGACTTTTCTCAGTCAAAGTTCGTACATTAAACGCCAATCCCTTGGGGCAAATATTGATCCAATAATGAATATCTTGACCTCAAATATTTATCTCAATCTCCGCACGTATGATGAAGAAGCTCTTGTCCTGTATGCGAACGACAATTTGAATAACTTTGTACAACTTCACATTGATGCTGGGAACAATGTTACGTTCATGTGGAACGACGGGCATTTTATCGGTAAGAATGCGATAATAATAGTAGCTAACACTAAACGAAATGAACAAATAAATACCCATCAATTTGGCATAGAAAACAATCTAAGAATTAGTTCGACATTATTATGCACGTTTCAATTTCTTGTTCGATTTCAGAAAAAATTTCTGTGCATCAGAAGCGTCTAAATCATGGAAATCCTATCCAAATTGCTGTTAGGAGAAATTCCTCCCACACAATTCTTCATGTGAATGACAAAACTGGAGTTTCCAAAAGTGGTGTGAGTTTGTTGAAGGTGAGTTAATAATAAATAATACCTTATGTCGAAAAATTCAGTATAAAAATGAAAATTACACCAAAAGGAGTACAGGGAAAATCCATGGGTTAATCCCATTTTGGAAACTTTTGCGCCGCCACGCCCATTTGCGCCAGCCGCACCTTACTACCAACTCTTCCTCGGTGGGTTCGACAACTCGGCAGTTAAACCTATTAACAATACCGCCCGTTCCATCCCTGGAATGCTGGGTTGTTTAAGAGGCTTTAAAATTGGGAATGAGCAAATCCCAATTAGCAACATGGCTAATCAAAATGGTGAATTGTTACAACAATTTGACTCTATATACATAAATATATTATCTAACAAACAGTTTATTTCGTATTACTGTAGATGTTTTGGAAGGTTGTAAAATGGTGTGTGATACCAAGCCATGTCATAATGCTGTAAGTGGTCACTATGCATTTCTTTACTACGCTGAAATAATTTTTTATTGAATCTTCAAATTGTTTTCATAGGGAATATGCATGGAGGACTTTACTTCAAGGCAGTACTCATGCGATTGCACATTTACCTCCTATTATGGTCCAGCATGTAAAGAAGGTAAACTCGGCGATAGAATTAATAACTGTTGTACATAAATATGTATTTTATAATGTTCAATTTATGTAATATTTCATTGCTTACGAGTAGCGCATTCTTGGCATTAAACGATTATCAAAGCTCCTATGCATACTGATATTTTATACGCAGATATTTTTCTTTGTCCTAAAATTATAAATGATTTTGTTACTGAATTTTAGAGCGAGGGGCAACTTTCCAAGGAGAGTCATATATTCGACGACGGTAATGCATGCAGAATATGAATAACTTCATATTTTTACTGAACTATATGCTCACTATTTAATAACTTGCTGAACTATGCTCAGGTTCAATAATCCAGCAGATACCGTTATGGAGATTGAAACACGTTTTGGATTTTCTTCCAATTTCTTCAATGGGAAAGAAACTGTTCTTCTCACGGTACAGATTCCTGGACAAAATTACTCTTTATTGTTCGCAATAAATGCTGAGGGACATCTTATTCTGATGGAAACTGGTACAAATGGAGTTGAGGGTGCCAAAATAAAATATCAGCATTTTATAGACGGATCTCGACACTCAGTTTACTATAAAAGGAATTCTGACGAAACAATCTTCATTGTGGACCAAGAAGAAATTCATCTTTCGAGTCTAAACACAAAGAAACCAAAATTTCAGTTGATTCCGAATCAAAATCTCAATGTGGGAGAAATATTTGTTGGAGGAGTCAATGAAGCAGTTCCAGACCTAATTAATTATAAAAGGTTTAAAGGATGTTTGTCTAGTAAGGACCTAAACTTGTGCAATTTATTCAAAACCAATCAAAATTAGTATGCAACCTTCCTAAGTTACCTGATTTTTACAAAAAATCTTCTCAGATATTTACGTCGCGGTCAACAAGTTGGAGCTCCGTACACTGGATGAATATATGGGTTATTTAAAGAAGCCAGCGGATCAGTTGTTGGGTGAGTAAATTTCATTTCAAATTTTTAAAAAATGACGTATTCTCACAAATCTTCAATAAATAAATTATATAACTGTGTCAAAATGTAAATGCAATTAACGGAACTTATTATAGACATGGACAATGTGGAAGGGATCAAAGCCAGTACTTGTGGGGCTTTCTTTGCATTTAAACCTCCTTCCGTTTTAATTCCCAAAGATTTGGCACCGGTATGGAATTTGATTCTTATTTTTGTTTATTTTGCAATTCGATTCCTTGAGAATCTTTTAATCCATTTTACCATGAATTACTTAGATGGAAAATGGAAATGCTGATTGGAGAGTTTCGATTCCTAAAAAGACAAATATTTATCTTGCAAAATCTGAAGAACCAGATCAAGCAGGAATTTCGTTCGACAGTGAGTGTTCTTAAATACCAATGATGAATTCATATATGTAGTGTTTGTATAATATGTGCAAAATTTGTCATTGATGAAAATGAATTGGATTTTTCAGTGGTGGCATTAATCCTTGGCTTGTTCTTGGGAATCTTGGTCTTATCCGTATTAGTTTATGCTTACAAACTGAACAAACGGTACAAAAGGAGAAAGTACTTTGAAGATGATGATGACGATGATTACTTTAGTCATCGGACAAGTGGTCAACCAGTCCGGTATCACGATCCTACAAATACAGAGCTTAAATATGTTGGATATCGTCAAACGAACCCTGATCCTGTTAGCATTAGTGAAAATAACCATGCCAAATCAAGTTCAAATAGGATTAATGGGGACATTACAGTACGTTCATAATTTTGAAATATCACCGTTCGGAATTAATTAACAGTAGAATTGAAAAAAATGTGTAGAACGCTGAGGCAGAAGAAGATTTGTTACAAATGGACAACGGGGACGAGGAATCCAGCGACACGACGTCACAGAACGAATCGGAAGTAGGATCTCAGTCAGGATCCTCCCAATTTGACAATCAAAACTTGGACGACAAGGTATACTTTGGATTTTTTGAGAATGTGAAAGCAACGACAAGTGAGGTAACCCTTATGGCAGAAAATTCGATCTCAGGATCAATCCCAGTATTCTCAAATGGCTTAGCAATAGAAAGTACTGAAAATGATGAAAATGATGCATCCACTGACTCTGATGCATCTGGGGGAGCTCCATTTAAGCATGTCTTTGTTGTGTTCCAATAGTTCTAGTCCTAACTTTGGTTTTCATAGTGCTAAATGCAATTTGGCATAGTGCTTTTCTAAACTCGTACATTTAAATATTCATGTGATGCCTCATAACCGACTTCCGATGCCCAGTGAAATATAATAACCACTAGAGTTTAATATAGAATTGCTCTTTTATTTGTGTGTTTAGGAGGAAATGAGAAATGGCAAATATGAAATGGACGACTATGGCAGCCTAATTTTCGAGAAGAGTTGATCCCGAAAGTTTCTTGCTTTCTTCGTTCAGGGTTACACATTATTTCACAAACCTCTCTTTCTAAACGCTTTTTACCTTGAACAATTCAGTATTCAACTAACTACCAACCACTAATCCCACGTTACATTAATTTTATAAGAGTTTTTGGTGTCGGTATGCATTACTAACCCTGCTAGTAGTTTTTACTTACTTTTTTTTTACGAAAGTTTCAAAATTTGAATGCATTATAACCAGCTACCTGTTTACGTTCATTTGATTACCCTAAAATTGCTACTGTAAAATTGCTTTGGTATATGATTTTTGTCCGTGTTGATTTATACGCCTATATATTACTGGTGATTGTGGATAGTTGTGGTACTGTTATCATAAATTGGTGATGGAAACTTTGCAACTATTATTTGCAACATACATAACACACTATGAAGTCACTATGTATTTATTTACGGTTCGCGTTGCAAACTTTCTCTGTTCTTCTCTATTTTCTGTTTTACTACTGTCGACAGGGAGTTGAGGATCCTGTAGAAGAATCCTCTTCTCAGCCTAAACTTGTTGATGGGGACTTGTCACTAAAGGAGGAGGAAGAAGACGAAAATCCCAATGGTACGGCAACCTGTACAAATCAATTGGCTTGAAAAATATTTCCAAATTGACAATCCTATCATGGTTGAATTGTAACGTATTTTAGTCTTGTTTAGTCAATTTCTCCCACCAAATCTTAACCAAACCTTTCTTATTACACAGAAATAATATATTTTCCACAGGATTTTACATTAAACTGACAAATTAACACTCTTTGCTCGTAATATAGAACCGCTTTGCCAAGAGTTCTTTTTTTGTTTCACACCGTAGATAAAGCCAAAGTTAAACCCAAAACGAACCACATCCGTCCTCCCAACAAAGGAACCATCTCGCCAATTTTTGTCTCCGAATCGGTCCGTACTTATGAAAGCAGTCCAATTGCAATCATTGGTGGAGCAAGGTACCAAAACCTCAAACGTACCAGCAAAGACTCCCTCTTGTCGTTGGATTGACCTCTGTGGCTCCTAAAATATATACCTTCTTGTCCATCTAGATACATAGACTTTTGTAACAATGTTGTACGTACCTTCATGTATTAATAACTTATTTTTGTGCGTGTGTATCGATTCAACTGAAATTGTACTATTTTCAAACTTACCAAATGCTAGTCATGTTTTACCCAATATGTCTTCAGAGAAGATGCCATTTTATTGTAATGGTTATATAAAAAGACTTATTATGTATGTATGGATGTATGGCTCGTTCGTCTCGTAGTGGTGTATTTTGAAATATGTATACGATGTAGTTAGAAGTTAGAATGTCTTTGTGAGAGTATTATGACAGTTCCGTAGTTCACAAATCTAACCATTTAACCAACTAACAACTGTCGTATGTCCAAGAGTCACACCCACCCACAAGAGAAAATAAGGATGGTTTATGTAGATTATTATGTATTCAAAGTTTTGATTTGAAGAAAATAAAATGAGTCAAATATGTAAATCTCATTTACGATTTATTTCATTAATATGTGTATTGGTAGTAGATAGTAAGAATTTATAGAATACATTAACAATACTAGTAAAATCCATCAACCACAGGTTTAATAAGTTTAGTTACTCATGTATTTGTTAACAAGGTAAAATGGATGACAAGAAATCATCGAATTTTATAAAACAATTCTACGCATTCCAAGGGGAAAGTTTTTCATCAACCAGCTCATTCCGGACATTACATATTTCATAGTTAATTCCAGAAGATCAAAATAATTTTGATGAACATGAATTTTCAAAGTCAATTAAATTTCTGATTAATATGAGATGAGCATAATCTAACAAAAACGTATAAAAACCGCTTCATTCAGCAAAATAGCTTGGGTGGAATGGACATAACACTATCAAGGTAAGAGTTATTATTATTACTTATTATGTTGCTACTGTTTTGGGTGGATCAGTGGCTGATGGTTTCTCTTTCTCGTCTTTCCCATCAGTGATATCTTCAGTTTCCATCGGAGTATCTGCCTCCACAGGAGACTTTACTGGAGGAGCGCTGTCCGATTTTGGAGGACGTGCAGGACTTTTAGATCCATTTTCCTCAGCCTTTGTCATAACTTCGTCACTGTCAGCCTTAACGGCGCTAACCTCATCTTTTACAACTTTACCAGTTTCAGCAGAAGCCTTGATATCCGAGGATTTTGATTCAGGTGCTCCATTCGCGTTTTCATTTTTTTCGTCCTGCTTCAAACGTTTGCGTTTGTAAGACCTGAAATTTTTTAAATTTATTATTGTACATGATATGAATTGCAAGATAATGTAAATAAATAAATCAGTTTAAAAAAAACTATGTACCGTTGATCTTTTCGGCCTTCTCCCTCATCTTCCGAGTCACTGAGCTCATTTTCATTAGCTACTCGCTTATCTGACGCACGGATGGAGACTCGTTCATCAGGATTTACTTTCGAGTCCTCGTCAATGTCTTCTGTGTTGATGGCGTCCTCAGGGATAGCTATGATGTCAGAGTCGAGTCAAGTAGTGGATAATAATTACTTTATATACTAAATATCTTTTCCTTACCATGCATTTGTACTCCAGGAGCGCATGGGAGCATCCTCAAGTTTTCAAATAATCGAGTTTTGATTTTGTCCAGGTACTCTGGTGTATTTTGGTTCGCCATGTTGGATGGGCTAATGTGAAGTTTGAAATCAGGTCCAAAATACTCGAAATAATCATTGTAGGGAAGTTCATTTGCAATGTCAGTCCCAAGAGCAACAGCAGTTTCCAGAGTCCAACAACGGGCTACATTTCGTATGGTGTATCCACCACCCCCAAGGATGAGTAAGGGAAGATGGTACTTTTTGACGAACTCGACACATTTGGAGTGACCTTTAATAATAATTTTACCCTCAAAAGTATTTCGAAATTTTTAACATAAAAACACAAGTATCGTTTTCAAGTGCAGTTGTGTTACCTTTCAATGTGAGATTGAAGCACCCAAGTCTGTCTCCAGTTAAAGAATCCGCTCCACATTGCAAAACCACTGTTGCACATATATAAAACAACATTAATTTTCTAACTACTACTAATGAACTAGATGACGAATCTTCTCATCGTCAGTTTACCTGCTCCAGGCTGATAGGTTTCCATAACCTTGGTCATGATGGGGACGAAAATAGATTCGTACGAGTCATCATCAATTCCATCTCGAAGAGGAAAATTGACGGCTGTAAAGTAAAAATTATATATTGCTAAATTGTAGAAATGATGATGAAACTACAACTTAGGTTTACATTTCTTAGGAATCATTCGTTGATGTGTTTTAATATTTCTGTAAAATGTGACTGTACGTACCATAATACTTTCCTTTGCCTGCTCCAATATCCTGCTCAAACAAATGCAAGTTTAGTTTGGTATAAAAATTTGACTGGTTTTTCTATTTTTAATGGGGTACACAATTACCCTCAAGTCTCCTGTCCCTGGAAAGTACTCTCCGTACTTGTGAAAAGAGCATGTCATCACTCGGTCAGTAGTGTAGAATGCTTCCTCAACACCATCTCCGTGATGAATATCAATGTCAATGTACAAAACTCGCTGATGATATTTGAGTAGCTCAAGAATAGCCAACACAATATCATTAACATAGCAAAACCCAGATGCTTCAGACTTTTTGGCGTGATGCAAACCTCCTGCCCAGTTGATCGCAATATCAGTTGCCTCCTTGTTAAGCTTGACAGCTCCTGCGACAGAGCCTCCGGCAGATAACTGGCAAAACTCGTATAGACCGTCAAAGACTGGACAATCTTCACCCACATTGACTGAAAATGTCGATAAATAAAGTACATAAGATAAGAATATATATTTTTTGCGTAAAAAAGTTGAAATTTTGGTCTATGAAAATGTAAAAAGAAAGAAACTTAAAATAAAGAGGCATAAAACTTACATCGTTGCATTTGCTTGTTATACTCAGTCATATTATCAGGCCGAATGCTTCGCAGAAACCGGATGTAGTCGTCGCTGTGGAACTTTGTCATCTCTTCAGCAGTAGCCTTATGCGGCCTCTACGATTTGCATAAATGAAGGAAACACTTTTTATTAGCTATAAGTTCATACAAATACAAATTACTGGAAATTCAAGTATAAATTTAAACTTGCATAAATTTCCATCTTCCGGTACAATCCATAGTTGAGGAGAAGATTGTGGGTCATACGTATCCTGTGCGGCTTCATGGGATGCCCTTGACCATAATAGTAGTTCCCAATGTCGCCTAGAATTTTATCAGATAACAATTTATACTTATATTTTTCTACGTAAATGATACTATAGAACGATACATAAAAATATTTATGAATAATCACGAGTCAAATTACTACTTTTAATTGCATTGTGTAACAATTTTTAAATATATTTCGTGCTGCCGTTTACAAATGATTATCTAATTAAATAAATAAAGTAGGAAAAGGAAATTTGAAAAACAAATTACAAATCCTTCAATTACAAATTCTATGTTTTTGATAACATTTTCATTGTCTCATTTCTCAGCATTTCCTTATAATTCCTATACAGAGCAATAAACCTATGTCTTATATATATATATCCTACTGGTCAAACCGGCCGAATATTCATTTCCAGAAATACAGAGAACAACACGATTTTTGAAAAATCCAATAACTTACTGTCGTAGTAGTAGCAGACTTTCTTCCGTGCGTGGGCAGAGGTGGCCATTATCACTCAAATTTTTCGAAAAATTAATAAATTTCCGAGAGCGAATTTCACTTTTGTGTGTGTTGAGAGGAGACGAGTGAGGAAGAGAGGCGCTAAATACTGCACCAGCAAGAAGCTTTTTCTCCAAGCAGAATTGGGAGGAGCTTCACTTCACTGGGACGTGCTAACATTACGTGACCTGAACTTCGAAGAAATTTGCTCTATCTTACTTTAAACTACTTTTGTGTAAAACAACTTTTGTTGGATAACTTCTAAAATATGCAATATTTGTAGTTACACATTTTCAATGTCAAAAATACACCGTGACTTCTGCAGAATTGGGACTGGATCAGAATTTAGTTCCTCTAATTCTACTGGATATTTAGTTACCTAAATTTTGTCACGTATTACCAAACCTAATTTTGTAGCGATGTACGATGACGGCGTCATTATTACAAATAATATTTGTCTTGTTATGTTAGAAATGATGCTAAAAAGATGGTCTTATCACGATTACCTACATATATAAACTATTGTTAGGAAAATATCAATTTATGGTACTACTTTCAGCTTTGTTGCATAATTACAGCGAAATAATATGACAAGTCAGCCACAAAATACATATTATTTTGTGGAATGGAATTTTCATTCATTTTCCCTAACGCAGTAGCAGAGCAACTCTCTCTCTTACTTATCCATCCAGCCACCCTGATTATTACTCAACACTTTCCCTTTCACTACACACAACCCACGAACAACGACCAAAACCCGGGTATCTCTGGCACCATCGAAACTTATTATTTTGGGAGGGTGGAAACCTGTCGTGAATCGTGATGCAGAAAAAAATATGCCCTTTGCCATTCGTCAGACTCTGAAACTACGATATGAGCCATCAATTTCATATTATTTTCCTCGATATTTCTTTTAATTGCATGGGAGAATTTTCTTTTCTGAGATGAACCTCCTCTTTGGTTGTCCCTAGAAAGCATAAGACCCGAAAAATGTCTGAGTGTGCGAGTGAGTGGGATGACCGAGAAAGAGAGAACAGCGAGATATGCAGGCAGGGTCAGATTCCTCTCTCTCTCTCTACACTCCTACATTCATAGCTGGGTTTGTTGTGAGCCTGGCTGGTGAAAGGCCTTTTTCTACGAGATCGGTCATCGACATCCGCCTCCTTTCCCCAGCAGCCCCATGCTCGCTGGATAACAGATATCGGAGGACTGGACTGCTTACGAGATTGATCGTTTGGCTAATATTGTGGTTTGTGAAATTGCATCCGCCCCTGTAAACCTTAAACCGAATCAGTTGATACATACTTAAGAAAGACGATATATATTCATTCGTGTTCTCTTCCGGATAATAAACTCCTCGCTTTTATCTTCTCTCGGCCGACTTTCTTCGTGAACGGAATTCTTTCTCTCACTTTTTGCCCATCTCATCGTTAGCAATATTAACTTTCAAAACATTGATTTAAAAAGTTGGAACTAAGGGCTAATAAAAAAGTAGTGCGTTGATAGATAACAATTTGATAAAGTTATACTCGTAAGTGATTCGGTGTGAAAAAGGAGATTCCATCACCTTCAATTTTTAATGAAATTGTCCATTACACTACACTGGGATTTTGGACTGGTCTCAACAACTTTCAATCGTCGGTAGGTTCAAAAGGTGTGAATCATTCCATTATCATAAATAGTTATTGATCATCGTTATCAAATATTTGACCATTAACACAATTTATTAATAGTCAATCTGCTGCACGTTGCATTGGACTGCATTGGAAAATTATATTAAAATTAATAAGATTTTTTTATGGCCCTGATAATGATGCCATACCCTTAATTTGATTGAATGTTACATATAGTACATAACGAAAAATCAAATGCATTTACGCAAAGTATTTGACGACTTTCTTTCATGTCATGAGTAATATTAATTGACTCACCATTTCACAAAAAAGTCTGGCTTTCTTTGTCAATGGACTGGTTTGAGTCATGTCGCATTCTTGTTAGTGTGTGTCCAGAAAAGCTCAGTCAAGTCAGTAGTAATTCACCACCATTCATCTTGAGAGTCCATGAATGATATGGAGAGAAGACGATGTATGACACATAAAATTCGGCATTATTCCTTCATCTCTGTTTAGCTGAGAATAATAAATGATTCAACAGTCAAGTTACAAAAACTTTCTGTATACGACAAGTACATATAAACTTTAGGCAGAGTGTATATAAACTTCTTTCTTTTTGCATAACTCTCAATACTGTATGAACCTCTATAGATTATGGACTCGGTTATTCCATCAGTATTGTAAAGGCATCTTTCTAAACCATTTATCCATTCTGCCCTGGCTCTGACTTCCTGCTGGATTGGACTGTGTGTGTATTTTAAATAGGCAGGGGAGGGCAAAATAAAGATCTTTTACTCTGTTAGCTCATATTCCTAAGCAAGCTGTAACTAGATGATGAGATTCATTCATGTCATGTATATGTATATGGTGATGGAATACTAAAACCAAGTACAGTACATTTATACTTGGAGACGACAAGTTGGTATTTTACGGTATTGTCCTTTCCCTTGTTAAATCAACTTGTAAAGAATTCGACCGCAAATATTTGCATCCCTAAAATAAAATAAATATTGACAATTATTCATTTATCATGAACCCGTCGTCAAATAATTTAGCCAAGTGTGAAAAGTGTGTGAACCGTTTTATCACTCGTTCCATGTAAAATAAAACCACAATAATAGCAAGTGAAAAATTCTTGCAGTTTGTCACACACAAGAATAGTGTATTGTAAAGCCTTAGTTTAGTGTAGTGTATCTAATTCCATGCCCTTGTGGTGCGGTTTTATTGTTTTTCTTAATCACATCATGAGGTGTCGAACAAAGAATGTCAGGTATTTAATTTTTCCACATTTCATTACTACAGTACTCTAGAAAAGGTACGATCGACATAATATGTAGGATTAGGTGCAAATTTTCATATAGTAGTCTTTATTAATTTTATGCAAAGTGCATTTTAATACTTGCTCATTAAAACTGAGTGGTTTAATAAGAGCATTAAATGTTTAATGAATAATCATTTTATCAATTAAACCAGTCCGGAAGTCACTACTCATTATGCTCATGAGCTGTTTGGTAGTAAAAACGGATGTTGGTAGTAAACTTGAAAGTAATTTGAATATTAGGGATAGACAGGGCTTGTGGGGGATGGATGAGGACTATGTGCATACTTATGCGAAGAGGAGGATACAAGAAGACGTATCTTCTTCGCATTTAAAAAGGAAAGAGGAGGCTGATTGTTGCAAAAATTGCACTTGATGCAACTAATTGTAGGTAGGAAGCTACCACCAACCACCCCCGTCAGAAGTTGTAAATACATATATAAGCTCTTGTACAATACTGTTAAGTGAGTGAATGCGCTGATTGTCATTGTTAAAGGCTAAATGTTCCGTTAGCTGATGTATTACGTATACGATCTGTCTCAACTTAAATGCTGATGAGAAATCCGATGTGTGTGAAGTTACCATAATAATAATAACACACCATTGTTGATTCGCATCACTGTTAACCTTTTCTATAAATCGCAATATACTTTTTGCAATTATTTGTGCGAAAAACCTTATTTTTTTAACACTTCAGTTTGTGTGCATTTGCACTGCAAATGAAGATATTTACCCGAACGGTGTTTGTCGCATCTCATGTGCGTATTCTAATGTTTAATTGCAACAACCAGACTTGTGCAGCACAAGTTGTGCTCTATATTTTGTGAACACATTATTTTATCTTAATGGGGATCAGAAACTGACTAAAGCAGTATCGATTTTGTAATATTTTCAGGTGAAAACAAAAACAAGTTCTCTCCGGGGTCCGATTGATCATGGCGTGACATTTAGACCAGCAACGGCATAGAGTGTGGTCAGTTATGCGATGTAATTGTTTCCATCATACTCCTTGTCGTTGGGTCACTCGTAATAACCAAAAGTTTCTGATTCTCCTCTTCACCCACCACATTTAACTACATTTCAAATGGGTAAGCACAGAGATTTTTGAAACAGGTCCTGCACTTTGTAATCATATTATTTCGGCGACTGTCTTTAACTTAAATATGAATATGTTTACAGGAGGCAAGTCAAGCAAAAATAATTCTGGGGATAAGGTTGTGCGGGGTATGATTGGCATGACCCCAGGATATGGCCCTGGGGACCCATTTCAACGCGGCGGAGTCGTTGTTTCCAGTACGAAAAATTGCGATATCATTCGCACCCCATGTGAGTAGCGTGTTTTTAGTACCACATTTGTGGTTGTTCGAACAGAATAAATGTCCAGTTAATGAATTGAATTCGAACAGAATTAAATGTTCATGTTAAATGAAATGCTTTGCAGCACTAAGTACATTTGGTCAATCTGGAAGCGGCAGTAAGTGCAAAACTCTACCTCAACAGTTATCACTTCAAAAAAATCGTGGCGAATCATTCGAGTCTGCAAGCAATGGATACATTCGTTCAGGTCAAAATCACTGTCATGCATCCACGCCGAATGGGTCCAGCAATGGAAATTCTTTTTTGCACCACATTCAGTCACAACAACAACAGCATTACGGATCGGTCAAAACGCTAGTTGCTTTATATGATTACGCCTCTAGGCATAGTCGAGATGTTGGCTTTAAAAAAGGGGTATGACATGCATAATACACTTACCTACATACCTTACCTACCCACTTACTTACCTACATTTACTTGAGATACTCATCACTAATTTATGTTTTTAACTTATCTAGGACGTGATGGAAGTTATTAACGATAGGTATGCAATATACATAATATTATTATGATGTGCAAGTGATTAATTTCAAAATGTCGATAATTTTCATTACGTGTATTATTTTAAACGAATTTCAGTGACGCTGATTGGTGGAATGTGTACGTAATTAGAACAGGAGAAACAGGTACACATTCCCAATATTATATTTATGAATTTCTATGAAATTGGAATCTATGATACGTTTTTAGGATTTATACCGAGGAATTTCGTTGCCGTTGAGAAATCCATCGAATCTGAAGAGTACGTCATTGCCATTCATAATGATTTATGTAGATATTTTGTCAATTAATTTTGCTTCATTATTTAATGGTGTATTCCAGCTGGTTTTTTGGAAAGATATCAAGACGAGAGGCCGAAAAGTTCCTTATGGGTGAAGAAAATCCAAGGGGCACATTTTTGTTAAGAAACTCAGAACAAAACCCTGGTGCATTTTCCCTTAGCGTCAAAGACTGGGAGCAAGACAAATCTTATCACGTTGGGTGAGAATTTCTACTAGATATACATACTTTGTTAACAGCATTTTTAAATGATTTTCTCTGTTGCAGACGGTTTCTTGTCAAACATTATAAAATTCGCCCACTCGACAGTGGTGGTTATTACATTACTACCAGACTATTGTTTCAGTCTTTACGAGAGCTCGTCCAGTCATATTCTAGTAATTTATATAATTTTTTTTGGTTATAATACTTTTTTCCTAATCTAATATTTCATACATATTATAGGAAACGCTCAAGGGCTGTGCCATGTTTTGACTAGGGCCTGTCCTAAGCCATGCCCTACAATGGTGAGCACTGTCAACGTTTTACAATATAATATAATAACGGATAAAAATATAATAATGTATATAATTTTTTTGTTATTTCTAAAACAATTACTATGTATCTAGATATAAAAACTTATGTTTATTATCTTTTTCAGTGGGATTTGTCACCCGAAACTAGAGACCAATGGGAAATTGAACGTGTAAGTAAACTCTTTCTCTGTAAAAATGAGACTGATAGATATGTGTATGTACCCTCAGAGTTAATTAATAGAGCCACTTGTATTGTATAAATTACAGAATGAGCTACAATTTGTAAGAAAATTGGGATCTGGCAATTTTGGGGAAGTGTGGTATGGTACGTATTTTTAATTAATCTCATAGTCTGTTAGTATCAAGTCAGACAATTTAAATATTTAATATTATAAACTACACGGAAATTACGAATCTGGAACTTTTGCTCTTTGCATCTCTGCGATGCTACTGTTGAAGGTGTAGGAAATGCAACGGCCAACAAATCCATTTGGCCCTTTTTCATCTTCAAGGACGATATGCGTAGTTTACTCAGTGAACGATGCATAATGCAACCTTAAAAAGTAGACCTTAACTTTAAAGAATTAGCACCCAGTACTAGTTAATTAAGTTAGAAATCTAAATTTCATTTGGTCCGGTATGCAACCAGTAATCGTTTTACAACTTGGAACGTTTTTACGCTGAGGAAATACTATATATAAAGCTTTATACTTATTTTTACTTTGCAGGTCGCTGGCGAAATGGCATGGAAGTAAGTACATTATGCAACAATACAAAAGTTCAAACACTAATCAAAATATATTTGGGTTCCATAAAAACAGGTAGCAATAAAGACACTTAAATCAGGTATGCAAATTAATTAACAATTTACGTTGTTTAATTCATTTAATTGTCAACAAACAAAGTTCAAAGTGAGTATAAATTAATATTCATCCTCTTCTTCTTCATCTGGTAAAGCGACTTCTTTAACGACAGCCATGTCCATCACAATAGGGTAATTAATCCCTTTCAACTTCATGTAACGTTTGTCTGTGCCAAATGATATTGGTGACACTCCTGCTAACCCCATCGCTACACATTCTTCTTTTTCCTCCATTGAACAACGCAACCACGCAGCAGGGGATAGGTTTTTGTTGAAAGGTTTCAACTTCCTCCCTTGGCATCTAACACGAGCTTGTAGGAAAAGGTGGACCTATAAATAAATCATTTTCACTTTTAGTCATACTGAGTTATTTCTATATGAATCAGTATAAATTATAAAAAGTTACCAGTAAACGAGCTTCCAAGTTTTCGGCTTCTTCAACATTAACACGGGGGATCTTACAAACCTGGACGCACTTCCGGGATCCATCCAGCAAAACTTGTCCTGGGGTAGTTAGATGAGGAGTTTTTGTATGCGCATTGTGCATTCCTGAGTCATGGTTGTTTTTCCCAATGTAACAATCTGTCGTCTTATCTACTCCTGGGGTTGCGTCCAAATTTTGACAAAAATCGGTAGGTGAGATCTCATTATATTCTTCAACCAGGGGAAGTAAGGAAATGTAGACACATGTGTTTCGTTGGTTATATAGATTTGCAACGATTTGGATTTTCTTAAGACGTATATTTATTCCCTCCTTAATTTTCTGGGGGTCCGTGAGCCGTTTCTTTGGGGAAGGTAACGAAGTTTGCTCTACAACGGTAACGTTAGTGGGGGTAGGAAACGGCAAAACTTTGCAATCTTCTTTTCTAAGATGGAGAAATGATGGACATTTTCCATCACACTTTGCATTACGACAGAGAAAGGGCACTCCAGTTAATCCGTCTGTTATAGCTTTCTCCTGTTGTTTAATAGGTAGAGTTATAAAGGTGGCTGCCTCTCTTCTTACGTTTAACCACCTGAGTCGTGACCCATCTGTAGCGGTGTACTTTTGTCCTGTTAGAGCATACTCCTTAAAAATTAAGAAATATACATATTTAAATAACAACCATGCATACGTAAACATAAATACATATTATAAAGGAAGGTTCTCACAATCAATTTAGCCTCAAACTGATGAGCATTTTCCAAGTTGACCTTACGAGTCAGACCTTGGAAGGGCCACAGCTTCAGTAGTACAACAGTCTTCCCACTTTGAGCTGCTTGTCCCAAACACGAATTATCAGGGTCGCGGAAATGATGTGGATGTACGTCTATCCCGTTGCCATTACATCCCAAGTAAAAGGATACATTTTCTCCCCCCCTCATTATATAATTGTAAGCATCACCAGCAGATTCAAATTGTTGTCCAATAGTTGCCACAAGGTACACACTACAAGGCTTAGTTGATCGTTTAACTACTGCTGTACAATATAAGTCCAACCTCTTGATCCAATTGCCACGAATTTGACTAGAATTCATTTGATGAGGTAAAACAGGGTCGACAGATCTCAAAGGGTTGAGATCATTTGTGTGAAAGGGATGGAGCAGTTTCATATCAGATTCCGATCTACAATTACATATAAATTATTATAATGACATTTGAAACAATATAGTAATATAAGAGGATATGTAGTACTCATTTACAATTTGTTAATGTCTATTACAGTGTGATTGAGTAAAGTATGGTACTTTAGCGCGGCATCACTTCCATTCACAGTCTTGTGGCAATGGGGACAAGTATTTGTGGGAAGTTCACGGTGTCTATCCAAATAGGCAGATTTTTATCATTATTTACGTATACTAGTATTAAAGTTAAGTACATACGGGTTATTAGGACAATTTTGCCTTCCATGACGGCTACAGAGGTGTCTGTTGGTAAACCCCTTTCCACAATACTTGCAGAAGTTTGTGAGTGGTTTTGCCGTCTTTCTCAAAGCTGGGGGTGTCCTTGTCGCTTGTCTCAAACTGTAATTGACATTGGTCATGTATACATTTATACATAATGCCACTACAAACTTACTTCTGAACTGCTTTTGGAGTGGGAGGAGTAGGTGGTGGAGTCAACAAAATGACTCCAGTTTCATCATCCCCTCTTCCAAGGGGAGTGGGTGTGGTTGAGGAGAATAGGGCGGCAGGTTCGACAAATGTGGGACGATGGGGACATTTCTTTTGATGTCGTCTCAAAGCTATCCTTAAAGGGAACGTTTCAGCGCAAGGTGACCATGCACACCTAAAAACAGTTGTTTTCCTGTAATTAACATTTTTAATTACAATTACACTGTGAATAAATATTTACTACTTTTCCCAATAATAATAATCCGACATAATAAGTAAATGCACTTACTCGATCCTCGCTATTTTTGAATGACGACCTGACATCGTGACCTCTGACCTTAGCACTAACTCTGATTTTAACTACAATTTCTCTAGTAACTAAAACTAATCAACAAATAAAAACAATTTAACTTTGCACCGGTCAGGGGCAAGTGGCGGGCAGTGTATCCGAGTACTTACAGCTGATGAGAATATATGAGTGGTGAAGTCGAACATGTTGAATTGAATACTTGCTTTGTACATAAATTCCCATACAATATAATAATTCCTTAGGCTTGTTCTAATTCCATTTGTTCCCTTGTTCTCCAGGAACTTTAATGTCCCCTGGAGCGTTCTTAGAAGAGGCTGCAATAATGAAGAAGGTAAGATTATGCATTATTTAGAAATCACAAGTTGATCCCACATCTCATGTTAGCATCCACACCCACATGTTGGATTTTCCCAAAATTGTATTGAATTTCAATTTCCTACAAATTTTATAATGATGATATTGACTTTTTGATTGTGTTTTCTTAATAGTTTCGCCACGACCGTTTAGTAGCCCTGTATGCTGTATGTTCCAGGGAGGAGCCAGTGTACATAGTCACGGAGTATATGAGAAACGGGTCTTTGTTAGAATATCTTAGGTATGTCGGTATTGTAAATATTAATATCTAACATAAAGAAACACACGTATCTATATCCTGCATATCAAAACTCTTTAAATCATTTTAAAAATAAATATTTTTAGGAATGGTCCTGGTCAAAACTTGGACGAACTAGGTAGAATTCATAAAAATATTTTTATTTTTCATCTTTATTTTTACAAGTACTCGTATAATAAAACGTTTCAATCTTTTGTGTCTAGACTTGGTTTACATTGCTGCTCAGGTAATTACTACCCGTAATTCATTTTTAAACAATATTGTGAACTACTTACATACGTGATCAAAATATAACTGAATCATGTGGTTTTCATATAGGTTGCAAGTGGAATGGCTTACCTTGAAGAAAAACAGCTTGTACATAGGTTGGTATAATGCCTTGTTTTTGTTTCTCAGAATTTCAAGTGTCAATCGTTTAAAGCTGGTAATTTTCTTTTTAAATTTCAGAGATTTGGCTGCAAGAAACGTCCTAGTTGGGGATAACAATATAGCTAAGGTATTTTATATGGCATTGCTAAATTGTCTTTTACATACATGCTTTCTGGTCTCTTACTCATATTTATATTTTCTCCCACAATGTTCAGATTTGTGATTTCGGCCTAGCCCGTGTAATTGTTCAAGACGATGAATACTGCCCACGACAAGGTGGTAAGTTTGCGTTGATAATTCATGAATGCAGTCAATCGCTGTGGCGAAGGCGGTGAGGGGAGTGAGATAAGAGAAAGATTTCCCCCGTTGACAATATTTTTAACAATGGATGCCTAAACGGTTATCTTGAAATATGTAAAGCGAGATTCCCCGTGAAATGGACTGCACCAGAAGCTATCCTCTACGGCCGTTTTGCTGTGAAAAGTGATGTCTGGTCCTATGGAATTTTGTTAATGGAGTTGTTCACCTTTGGTAATTTTGTCGAATATTCTTTTCCAACTTCAGCAGTCATTAATTTCTACATTTATATATAAAAAATTATTTTTTATTCTTTTAAAAATAGGACAAGTGCCTTACCCGGGTATGTATCCAACACTTTTTATTTCACACCCACTTTCGCTTGCTTTGTTATCAGGTATTTTAACATGCTTCCATTTCAGGTATGAACAACAGAGAAGTTATGGATCAAGTTAGCAAAGGCAAGCTAGCAATGATTAATAATATAAATATTATGACATACCGGTGTATGCTGTCCATTATTTTAATATGCATTATAATTATTGTTTTAAAGGTTATAGAATGCCAATGCCAAGTTCTGGCAGCGTTACGGACCCTGTATACGGTATTATGTTGAGATGCTGGGATGTTGATCCAGTACGTAAAATGCATCCAGTTTTGTTATACTCGATAATTTGAACCGACAGAGGTTCTTTATGACTGTGGTATTATGTTATTTCTTAATGACGCATATATTCATTACAGGAAAGAAGACCTACATTTGAATTCTTGAAGCACTTTTTTGACGACTTTCCTGTAACATCTGAAATTCCATACCGTGAAGTGAAGAGTAAGATCTCGCATTAATGGCAATATATCCAAAATTATTAGTGTACTTTTTTAAATGTGCTTCATTTTATAGTTTTTATAATCTATAATGAATTTTCACCTTAATAGTAAACTTTTTTGTTTGGTCAGTTCAGTTATTGGATATGTAGTCAATTTTAAAAAATAAATTATTCAGTTAAATTAGTAATCCTAGGAATTTTATTTAAAAATGTATTTAATTGCAACCCCGCAATACTTTCTGGATTAAGAATTTTCATTGTTTATAGAAGCTGTGTATATGATAACTGTACAGCTATTAAGATGTGTCGTGAATTTAGGTAGATTAATCGAATCAAATCAATTTGCAGTTTTTTACTAGATGCATGCGTAAGTATATGTACAAGTTACTGATTACTCGAAATTTAAATTTTATGTATTTTCCTTTCTCCTCAGTTGAAATTCACGTTTCGCTATACTTTATTTTAATGTTCCTCTTCTTTATATGAAGTCGATGCCGTTGACAAATTAAGACAGTACAATGTATTTCCACGTGTAGGTTGACAGATATTGAATTTTATCCTAAGTTTTGTTACCACCAAACCATATACATGCTACACCAATGCCGATCACCTCTCAAATTTATATAATTTATAAGATTCGCAGGTTAATCGTACGCGTTTTGTGCTGAAAATTCTGCCATACATATGTTCATCTGCAAGCAATAGACTATATTTATTGTTTATCTTTCAAGTCTACATAACGCTCAACATTACAATTTTAGAAATTTAACTCGCTTTCGTCTCAAATTTCTCAACTCAAATGTATACCGCAGCCAGTAATTATTATATTATTATTAGTAGTATTAAATATTAAACTCATGATTGCAATCACAAGTTTGCTTGTTTTACCAAGAAAGAAATTCTAGTCGTTGTAATGCAAAGGTATGAGGACTACATTTTACCAAAATTTAGTCACTGCCCGAACGGGATTTACCCAAGAATTTTAAGAATAGTGATGTATGTGTTGGCATCTTTCATTTTATTAAACATTTCACTGAATTGCTAGGTAGAAATCGTATACTACTCGTAATTAGTCGTAATAATAATAATAATGCATGATGCATAATCTACATGTTTTAGCGAGTACAATGTTACTGTTTTTATTGTTGTTTTATACTTTCCATGTGCTACATTGAATGCCTATTTTTACAAGGAGCATCAAGACATTTTAGCGTACTAAATGTGTCTGCAGTAATAATAATAATGTAATGATAATGTAATAACGTTTGGATATTTCTGTAGTCTATATACAAATATGTAGGAATACTGTCTCCGTATGATATGATATGTATAATCTGATATGATAATATTAACATTAATCCACATGTTTTTAACTCGCCAAATAGTTTGGAAATAATAAAAAATTGTAACAAATTGGGCATAATATTTTCGTACGTATTATTTAAACGTATGCGTATATTCACAATGTTAACGTGGAGTCACCAGCGCTGTAAATGGCTCGGGAGCATTTGTGAAGCCCTTAATATTTTTAAGCTTGGGAACAGCCAGACCGGCAGGAACTTGAAAACTGTAGCGTTGAAGAATGGACGTAAAGTAAGTGAATAGAGTGTGCTTTGCCAAAACTTCGCCCATACACACACGCTTCCCTAAATATGCAGAGCATGCAAAAAGTATCAAAATTGAGCATCAATAAACCCATAAATAATACCCCGTTCAGTACCCATTCCAAATGGAAGCAAGAACTCGAGATTTATAAAATTTCCATTTTCGTCCAGAAATCGCTCTGGTCTGAAAACTAATGGGTCTTCCCAAACTTTGTTATCTTTGTGGATCGTGTGCAAATTAATAACAAGAACTTCGTCCTGAGTAAAAAATATTAGAATTTCTTGAATCTAGAATTTAATCAACTTTTTATTACTGATAAACTATTCAGATTATCCGCATACCTTCAGGACCTTATAAGGGCCTAGCATCGTGTCTTTAGTTGCGACACGATGAACCAGCGGGATGACATTGCACATTCGCTGAGCTTCTAATAAAGTAGCATTCGTGTAGGGCATCCTAAAATACGAAGGATTATTTGTACATTTTGTATTAACATTTTAAATTCATAAACGTTACCTTTGGCGATCCTGCATACTGGGCAATCGACTTTGACCAATAATATCATCAATTTCTTCCTGAACTCTATTTTGTACTCTTAAATTCAACATGACGTACAGCAAGGCGAACTCTAGCGTATTTGCTGTGGTCTCTGACCCAGCCGTGAAGAGATCCATGCAAACAATCACAAATTGTTCCTCTGCACCGTATAAAAAAAGTTGAAATAACAATCTCTACGTTATGTACATTCGACAAGAAAAATTATTAAATACTCACCAGTAAATAATTTATCTGGAGAAGGCAAATCTTTTTGCTTCTTGATCTCAGATACAAATACGTCGACGAAATCCCTGGGGCCGACGTAATCGTCATGTTCTTCTTGCATCCGTTCATTTAATAATTCCTGAAATTGATTGTTCATTAGTTGTGACGACCCCTCGAAATTTTGAAGCAAGCAGAACTTATTTCTCAGGATTAGTGAAACTATTTACCCAAAAAAATTGCTTGAGTTCATCATACAACCTCATTTGATGATTATGACCAGTAAGTTCAGGAGCAATAAATCTCAAATTTGGAAATGCCATTAGAATATTTCCTCCTAAATCTGATTTAAAAATGTGTAAAAAACGTTATTAACACATAATTAAAAGTTGAAGGATTATTAGTTTGTGAATCTCAACAATTTCCAATACTATGTCATCGGAGACTATTAGCAATTTACGGTAATTTTCTTAGAAAACCTACCGTGGGTTCTGGAAATCTCTTCCACAATGGTAATTAGTCGGTGCATCTTTTTGTCGTTGTAAGAGAATCTTATCCTGAATAAAGAATATTACCAGTTTACATATACATTGAAACATGACTATGTAAACGTATGTAAAGGTATGTTTCTCTTAAAATTACATAATTATGAGGTTATATAAGAATATTTAGGTTAAAACAATAGAATATACAGTGCAACCTTAGATAGCCTAAGCCCCTAATTTTTCTCGTCTCTTAATTACTTCCGAAAATCAACGAGGGTTGTGCTTTCATTAATCCGTATCAATTTTTCATGTACATACATAAGGTCCAACTTTTTCCGACCTACATACTTCAAAATGTGGGTCACATTGTTGGGTAACCCATCACTTAAATGACCCCCACTAGTAAACCACTGGACCGATCATGCCAATCTACAAACTCATGTAAGGGTTACGTCAAGATATGTATCTGAAGAATAATTTGATCAGCATCGGTTCAGTTGTTCACTGGCGTGTCACAAACAGACAGAGACGGACATTAAAATTCTATGGATAAGCCCTGGCTTCGACTAAGAAATAATAAACCATGAAAAAAGTTGTTTTACCCTCCAACCATCAACCATATGACATTTAATACCGGAAGTGTAAATGTATGATGAATTTCAACAAGGGTTCCCTCGTTCTGTATTTTGTTCTGGAACTCGTGAAGAAAATTCATCAGTTCGTCTTCAACTGCGATTTCCATATTTTCTTTCCTTCCTAACCCGAAATCTTTCAGGTGCTTCATTGTAAACATTTTGAGGGACCGGTAACACTTTCCATTATTGAAAATGAGACCTGCAAAGTCGCTCAAGAGCCACCCATGTAAATAAATATCTTCTAAATAACCATGCGTTTTAAAGGTTGTGCATCATATGTACATACCCAAGGGCTTTCCAAACTGTCTTTCTAGGAACCACCCATCGGCAAACCGATTAGCAAACTCTTCTCTGCAAAATACTTCTTTTGCATATTTGCTAGAACTAACGACGACTGTCAACAGAAACTTTATCAGTTAACTCATTTTTTCTGTAATTGAGATTACTTGTTAATTGGCACACCTGCAGAGTTTACTCCAAATTGTAAACTAGTCAAATGTCCGTACTTGGAGGACAATTCGTGGAAAACTATGTAAGCTGGTTTGTAGGTTAAATACTTTTCAGAAAATTCGGGGTCCATTTTAAAAATGGACTTTAGTTTTGAAAAATCCAGGACGGCTGGAAGCATAAATAGTAGGTTCCCAATGAACGGAAATTTTAGTGGTCCTTTGTAAAAAAAAGTCATGCATATATTTTTAATAATAATTACTAATGGAATAATGGATAAGTTTATGTCGGCAGAGGTTGGCCATATAAATACCTGGTGGACGATTATCCGATTTACGTTGCCGATTATCTAAAACTGTCCAAATGAAGATCAAGCAAAATGCTATGATAATACACACGTTCACAACCATTTTGCACTAATTTTCCAATGCGTTTAATTGTTCAAAAATCTTTAATTATGTCTTCATTAGTTAAGTCTGCAAGGAATCTATGGCTTGGGTTTTCCTTGCATGTGTTGACATTGTCAATTGTACAATACCTACTGTCAATACACTTTGAACTTGAGTAGGATGCGACATACGACGTAAACCTTATTTACTAGTCATGGAAAAATCTAGATCTCGAAGAAGAAAACAAGCATCTCTACGCAAATTCCGAAATGAAACTGATGACGAACATCGAGTTAATTGTCAATAGTTGATAATGCTGCCCAGGTCTAACAAAGACAAACGTTAGCGTACCTCCCCTAAATAAAAAAACTGCTGAAAATGCTTAGGTAAATACATACATCGTATTTTCATGTACGTGTGTTATTTCAATAAGTATGGCATTCAGAAAAACGAATTGCATGCATTAGCAGAATTTAATAAGCGGCTACATTTTTCCTTTCCAATTTTTATTTTTGTGCAGTAGTGCTTTTAATTGTAGTCTGCCTTCTGTTCTAAGAGTTCTTCAATGTCATAGGTATGAATTTGTTGAGATGGTTGTGTGTCATGTGAATCTCCTTAAACGTTTGTTGCATTTTTTATAGTGTTTTACGTACTATGTAAGCGTACGTATGTCTACGAGTATTATCTATACGATACGATAATATACAATTAGTTGTTGATGGAGTTATTTAGATTGTGCCACCACTCCAACCAACCAACAATTCGTGTCATGAATCAGTAGACCTAAGCAAAACTGCACATGATCGCCTTCATCCATAAGTTGTTAATAAACTAACATGATTACATATATTATGTCAACTAACTTCTTTCTTGTCCATTTGTTGTGTTCCTGTATGCAATGCAGTAGTATTTACTTAAACTGCATAGCAGAACCTATTTTGTGTACTTTTTTTTGTTTCAGAATGGTAAGTATTCCAATAGTCTGCGTTGCCTGTACTTGAATTCCTGAAATGAGTTCCTCAATTTGTTACATACTGATAAATGCATTGATTGAAAATGCAAAGCAAGACCCTGGTCTAGTTTGTAACCCAGATTCCTATAATTTTGTAAGCGAGATCCATGACTCTTTCAGTTCCTAAAATGTTTATTTGAGTGGACATGACTATCAATATATGTATGGTGTCAATAAACTATCTGTCCCTAGCCATGCTGACAAACCCCAATTATATGTCAAAGATACGTTACATGTACTTCACATGAGAAATAAAATCTAGTGACCCGAAAGGATAAATTACAAGGGTTACTCTCATTTTTCATACTATAGAAGATCTAAGAAAATGTTCTTGTTATTCTGTTCGAAGTTTTACAGCCGTCCATCTTTAAAAGTGCGTCTGGATCTCTTCGTTAGTCAAATGAGTGTGTGCTGGTGACCCAATGTTGTAAATCTACCCGAGATAAAAACGAGGAAAAAGTTTTTCTTTGGTTTATTGTCGTCATTCGCCTTCTCTTATGAAATTGTGATGTTAAATATGGCAGTTGAAGCCAAGTGTACCGTAAGTGGACTAAGACAGATTTCCTTTATAAGGGATTGCTATACACACGCACACGCACTTTTCGGGGTGGGTGGTACCTTTTCCCTCATAGAATCAGATTTTTATGAAATCATCAGCATGAGAAGCATAACGTAAGTACCTATCAACAAATATGAGAAATTAGATTATAGAATTTGCCAAGAAAGCCGATTTTATACGGAATGGTTCCTAATCCTTTGTTTTCTAGCACATAAACATTTCAAATGTCCACGTATTGCTGATAGAGTCATCGGGTTTTACCAAAATATGTAGTCCATTGGCCTGCTCCTGCCATTTTCATGACCATGATAAATAACTGGATATGGGGATAACATAATTTTTTTGGCTAATAAAGTCGTGTGGAGAAAATAATGCCGTAAATCTAATGATATTTCATGTTCCATAAACCTCATTCAGCCAGTGCTAGCAGTTTATTATAGCAACTCCAAAAAATCTATGTACGCGTGTTCATACATATATTCAAGCACATACTTCCAGACATACGTATCCATCCATATATGTGTCCTCCAACAATGCGTGGATGAAGTTTGTTGGTGCTTTTGCAACTTACGCAGCTTTCTCTCATCCACCTATACGTAAATGTCATCACAATCTGTGATCTTGACTTTTCCTTCTACAGATCTTCTCTAACTTTCTCCACTCACGACAACGCTCTTCCTGTTGTTTCCTCCCTTCTCAACAACTGCTTCTCTTCAAGTAATAAACCTTTGTCACGGATATGTGATTCTTGAAGAAAATATGATAAGACTATGAGAATAAAGAAAATATGATGGTAAAAGAAAAAAAATATATAATATGTGCTCGAGCACGTTGTTGGTCATTTCATTTCTGACCCATTCAAATAAATTAGGACTTAAAGAATCAATAATTGGAACATGTATAAGCAAGTGCGCCACGTGGAGCCCTTATCTTGACCCCAATGGTCGAAAACTTTCTCTCTATCACTTGTACTTCCATGTAGGATCTTGTCATGTGAGTGTGACGTGTTTATACGCGTGTGTTACCCAGCATTCTGAACTCTGAGATCAACAAAGCACTTCCCGACGACGAATATCTTTCGGATGCCAAGTTGGGAGTTACATAACATCAACTTTTACTCGCCAAAAGTTGTTGGTTTTGTGGTGGTGTGGGGGAGTAGTGACGAGATAAATAAAAAAGAACTTTATTTTACGATCACCAACCCCATTGTACGTGTAATACTTATGCGACTTCCTGCCGCTGATCAGCCATCCACGACACTACGGGCCTAATTTCGGCCATCGATTGTTTCTCCACGTGTCCGAACGAAACATGTAATAAATTGAGTTGTGACTTTTACGCTGACTTTTTATTGGAGGTCATTTGCCCAAAAGTTGCTTGATATGAGATGTTTCCAATTACACTTTTTATTATTATTCTTTCAGAGAAACTTACAAGATTTTTAGTGGAGGAAATATGGCGACAATGAATTATTATTTTACGGCTCATCTTTTTACGCAACTTTTCCAGTTCTTCCTAGATTGGGAACATTAGTGAAACGGATTTCTGAGGCCAGTTCCAGTTGTTCAAAAATAGTTATCTGCAAGAATGTAAAGTTTTTTGTTTTTAAAATTATAATTTTAAAATTAAATACGCGATGTTTAGTATTGTTTAGCTTACAGCATTGTCTCCCGTGTTCAGTAAAGGAGAAGGAATGTACAGAGTTTGTTGTGGTCCAACTTTAAAGTAGCGTCTGCATTGAATAATAACCGATTGTAATAATATACCAAATAGATATTTACAATGATGATAATAATAATAATAAATAACCCAATGTTGAATCCGTTCACAAAAACGATTCCTTTGTGCCAATTTGTCATGTCCAGAAAAGTGTCGGCAGGTTCGCCTGTTATTGTCAAGGTAGATTGAATTAAACATGGTGCTCTCATTCCAGGTCCTTCCGAACTATTTCTCCAGTTTTGAAGCCTAAATTATTTACATGCATAAAAAATGTTGTTAATAACGAATGAAGGTTTGAAACAATAATTGGATAAATAACCAACCCTTTAACCCAATCATTTTTAAATTCAAGAGCAATCATTTCTACTCCCTGGATTTCTTGATCATTGATTTCAATTTTAGACTGATGAATTTCAGCAATTCCTTTCTGCTGAACAAAATCTCCACGTCCGCCAAAATTGGTCCTGGCAATATTCTCAACCATAAGATCCACGATATGTTCTCCATTGTTGGTAACGTTTAAGGAGAACTCCTTGATGCTACGTTAAATGCGATCCATATTTAAAATGCACAAATATTTAAGACCGTACTTATGCATTAATTCTGTTTCTCACCTATTCAACCAGTACTCTGGCTGATCATTCGTAAAGCCAGTGTCAATCAGGTCACCATCTGTTAAAAGTATAGCAAAATCCCTTGGCCACGATGCCTATAAAGACACGAGGGAAGATTTGTCCTCAATTCACTACGTCTAATTTTACCTTTAATATTAAGCATTTTTTATTCTTACCTTGTAGCGGTCTCCTGCGTTGATTGTCGAATTTTTGCGATAAACAATATAGCCATAACTTTGTCCATTTCCGTCATTAATGGGCAACAGCTCCATTGACACAGGTTTGTCCATCGTAACCATGTGACTAGCCGGAACTCTATCAATTATGTCAGTGTACGTCAAGTATCTCTGTAGTCCAAGTGTAGGATATGCGGTTTTCTGACTCTCTAAAGGTCTTTGAGGGCGTCCCAGTTTTGGACTTTCGTATTGATTAATGAGCACAGCAGCAAACTCATATTTCGTAGTGTAATCGCCAGCTTCAGAAATAAGAGCGTCGTAATCTTTGGGGAATAAACCAGACACCATGTTAGAATAATTTTCTAATGTTCAGCTAACAGCTAACAGCTAACGGTGGTCTGAATTATCAGTGTACCATAGCTGGTGATATCGGATAAGATGTATGGTGGCTCTCCAATATTATTCGCTCCTGCCATAAAGCCAAAGTTTGTCCCCCCATGGAACATATAAAAATTGACAGAACTATTGTAAGTGCGGAACATTGTCTCCAGTACCCCTTGAAATTCTAAGAAAAATATTAACGTTGGATTAGGTGACTCATCGCCTGTGACGTCACAGGTCTAAAATTCTGAACATTTTTGCGCATTGCTCCGTTCTGGGAACTTATTTTTAAATTCCGTCAGATCCATTTGTAGACCAGGTCAGTACCAATTTATTAAAAATATGTACTCAAGATTTTGACAAGTTTTGAACGAGGAGACCCAATTTTTCTTCACTCCTTTTGGGTATCCTTCTTCAAAACTTGTCAAAATCTTGAGTACATATTTTTAATAAATTGGTACTGACCTGGTCTACAAATGGATCTGACGGAATTTAAAAATAAGTTCCCAGAACGGAGCAATGCGCAAAAATGTTCAGAATTTTAGACCTGTGACGTCACAGGCGATGAGTCACCTAATCCAACGTTAATTACGAATGTACAATTGATGCTGATTTTATATTTTCGATATATTTAGTATGTTTACGTTGGGGATCAGAACCAGCTTTAGAATCATCAAACCAATGATTAAACCTTTGTGTAAAAAAAGAGAAAGCAAATTAATTATAGATGAATGAATTTCTGGAGGATATCTGAAATTTTTTATTTTTTACCATCCACTCCAAAATTCCATCGCCATCAAAGGTTTATCAGGCTGAACCTCTAGGAGTCGACTTAAAATAGAGTCTGGGTTTGATTGGAAATTTGCAGTTTGAAGAATTCCGTCCAGAGTTCCACCCATGCCATCACCCCCGAAACTATTGTCAGACGTAAAAAACAAACTTTCCAGCCCATTCTCCAAGAACGATTGTCTAATAAATTCCAGATATTCCTTGCTTTTTGGACTAAATAAAGGAAAATAGGGTATTTAAAATCTCAGTTTGTAATATTTTTTGCCCTAAATACGTAAAGCTTGCTTAACCCATTTACGCCTGTCACATCCCTCTAAAATTGACACAAACTTGGCAAATTCAAACCTCGTTCAAAAAACCATATTTTGATTAAGCAGATTAGACAACTATCTGAAACAGGCCAACTCAAACATTATGAACATCCGATTACAACTAGATTTTTGTCTGAATTTTTAGGATTTTAGTGGTTATCACCCCTTAGAGGGGTGTGACGGGCGTAAATGAGCCTATAATTACTACAGCCACTGAGGTTTACTATGCCCACATGGCATTTACAACAACAATACAACAATCAAAATACGATGAAAACTGCCATACTTGAAAGAATTGTACTCATTTTCTATCTGCGTAAAAAACATAAGTTATATTTGCATGGACTATGGACTAATTCATACATAAATTGAAAAATAAAGCACCTGAACACCAATGATGGCTCCACCGCGTGTAAATTCTAGATCTGCTACTTGTGGAAGCAGAGCGTCCAAAAATATTTTGACCCTGTCTAAATAGGGCTCGTAATTTTCGCGTACTCTCATGTTTGGATCAGTTTGAAGCCAACTTGGAAGCCCTACATATCATACACAATGAGGACACCTAATACGTTTGAGTTCTTGATGAAACTCTGATTGCTTACCACCGTAGTCCCACTATTGTCCCAATCAAGAGAAGGGCTTCACTACTTGCCAATACCAGATTTTATCTCCTTTTGGATATGTTGTGATAACCCATGAGTATACTATAAACCTAAACCCCTAAATGGTTTGACCCATTGACTCAATTTGCGCCCGCCACACCCACTCAAATGGGCGAAAAACATGAAAAAATCGTTTTCGGTCGTTCTTTGAAAATTCTTGCTGCATTGTGCTCCCAGATGGTTGCTTTTTGAGCGTTCGAATATAGTGATTTTCGTATTTTTCGTCCCTTTAATTGGGTGTGGTGGGCATAAATTCGACCATGGAGTCAAACCACTAGATTTTAGTACACTCATGGGATACTACCAGATATCAAAATGGCATCAAAATCGGTTATTGGCAAGTAGTGAAGCTTTCCTCAGAACATATGTAGGGTCCTGTTGGTGAATAAATTATGTATATAATTATACATTACATTAACGACAAATTATATTACCAGGCCTAAACAGGACCAACAAGTCTTCCTCTTTTGCCATTTCGATGTAACGGCGCACGTTGAGAAACTCGGAGAAATCGTTAGTCCCATTTCCAAAGTCAAATTCTCCTCTTCGGGGTTCTAAGTAGGTAAACTTTGTTATGTGGGTCGACATTTTCATGTATTTTTTGCGTATTTATAAGATATGGACATGTTTATGTACCATGAAGGTTCCAAGGCACATAGGTTTCAACGCAGTTCGCTCCAATCGCTCGTAGTTTCCGAAGACGGTCTCTCCAAAGTGCAGGATGAATACGGAAGTAGTGTATGGCTCCACTAATAATTCGAATTTGTCGTCCATTGAGCCTAATGAAACGAATGCTTAATATTGCATTGCATTTAACTAAAAAAATTATTTAGGATTCCGAGATCAAAATCTTACGTGAATTCCCTGTTTTCTGCAACCAAACCGGTGAGATTGGCTGTATTTGCAAAGTACTCGTAGACTGTGGGTCCTTGAGATGCGACAACGGTGAACATCATAGCCTGAAATCAATCGAGAATTTTTGTTTTTATATCATATGGAAACTTTTACTTCGTGAAATAAATGAAACGTGTAAGTAGATTTGTATGATACCAAAAAGGCTAGTTTACACCAATACAAAGTCATCTTATATTCTTGTATAAGAACGTTCCAGGATTTGACTGCGGCTGAAACCTGTTTTAGAGTGCTTTATATGTCAAGATATTTGTTATGCTCAATGTCCCTATCTAACTGCCTTAATTTTGAGTGCGATTATTTCAAATATTTATTTATTCTCCTTGATTGTGGAATCTATTTGGATCACACCCAAGTATACGCTTTCCAGATAAAATTGAAAATCATGCCAAACAATTGATATGATAAGCCCTCAGCCAAGTATAAGTACGTAAATCAAAAGATACATCAATGTCAACTATCAGGAGGAGTATAGATGTACAATATACCTGAATACATGCCTCCCACTAATGCGAGTACCATAGTTTAGTGGAAAATATTTCAATTGTTTCATTATGATATTTTTTATCCTGGAGTAGAGCTACGTACATACATAACTAAATAACTACGATAGCAAAAAAGCATGCACTCCATTAGCAAGTAAAACAAACACTTCGTAAACACTCATTTTACCATTTTTACAGTCCCATTATATAAATTCGAAGCAATTAGTGGTAGCCAGGGGCAGAATATGTATCCCACTTGTCAGCACTTTGCAATTTGTCTGCGCTAATCTATAGGCACGACTTTTTAGGAGTTATGCATGTGCATATTCTTTGACGCGAAGACTATGAATTTACTTCTTTAACGAAACAAGGGGACCTTGCTGCTGTTATTTTCAGTCATTAAAGTCATCCCTGGCAGGGAAGATTTTAAAGTGCAATGTCCTATCCATAGTCCCATCAATTTAACTTCTTTAAAGCTCACACTAGATTTTTTTGTGAAATTCGTAAAGTATACAATTATTTAGTACACACATACCCATACATATTTACATACTTATTACGTCCTAGATGCAGTTCAATTGGATTTTTAAGCTCGTGCGTCATCTCTTCAGTCATTTGCAATTGAAATAATCCACTTGATATACATACGTACCCAAGATATGGGCGAGTTCAAAATTTATATATATCAACTTTATTCACTGGGAGGATTCTTTTAGATATCGAACAGTATATATTTAAACCCGACTTCTGCTGCTTGCATTACATGCTTTAAAGTATTATGTAGATAATAATCTTATTCAAAGTAATGCATTGTATGCAGTACAATTAGGCAGACAAGTCAAACGGCAACCGCAGCACTACAATAAAACCAATTAATTTCACCTTTGACATTAGTGAGCCACATGCATGCAATGTTGTGGCTTCTTCTGCTATTGTACATATTTACTTGCCTGTCCACCATACAATTTATCTTGAGGTGATTCATCCAACTTTTGAGCAACAAATCAAAATGTGCAACCGGCCACCAGATATACATAACTTTATGATTATCCAATTACATACGCTTAAGGATCTCGCTCTGCCAAGAGCACAAATGAACAACACAGTAAAAGTCTAGCATGATTAAATTTAAGCAGATCTGATTAAAGAGACCAATATTGAAACATTTTTATATATTAAATTACATGTAGGACCTGGTTGATCATACGTTACCACGAATAATAAGCAACCCAACTGGCCACAACCAGCCACGGGGCAATAACCAAGAAGAAGTTGCCTTTTACGGATGACCGAAAGTTTTTCAAGCTGATCAGATCAGGATGTGCGACCAGAATATCAACAAAGAAAGAAATCCATTCAACAAACTTCAACTCCCAACACGGCGATAACCCAATAAGTTTATATTATATTATGTGCTCTTGATTGCATCTCACTTGCTGGTTACGCAAGTCATCATCAGTCCACAAGGATGACTTCAAATTCGAGGAAGGAAGATGTGAAAATGCACAAAGTAAATCGCTCGTCGTGTGCAGAACATTTTTTATTATTTTTAGATATGCACCCAGCATTTTTGCAGAAAATTGACTTGTACAATTTATTATTATTTATTGAATAGCTCGTGCAACTATCACTCATTTGTATAAACAATTGACGTATGTACATATGCAGTTTTGTATACAATTGCTAGGCGTGCTCTGAATAAATATCATAAGTAATATTTCAGTAACACATTTTGATTGCTGCAATTGACACCGGTCTGAAAAATTAGTTGGACACACCATTACCAGTTGAATATCTGTGTGCGACTTTTATCAAATCTGGCTGTGATCCAGCATTTTTATTATTATGATGTCGACAAGATTAGCAATAAAAGCTCAAAATTTTATAGACATAGAATTAAAAGAAATTCATTCTTGCCCCTGTAAGCTGGTCAAAAAGCGTGAAAGATTGATATGATCAGAAAGATGAGTTCAGTCGAGATGCAACAATCTCTAGTCTCATGCAATAATGTTGAATTCTATTCTATTTGACTTTAGAGATTCATTGAAACTCGTCTGGATTTGTTTTTCATGCAGCATCCTCAGTGTAGCAATACGTGTGCAGTTACTTAAGTTGTTGTACTCACGCATCATCGTTTCCACTTTAACAGCTTCGACTAAGCAGCAGCTCCTTGTGTCTGATAGACCGACGACGGACCAATGTACCCGACCGAAGCTATCCAATGGGTCCAATATTTAGCAGGCACGAACGAAACGACGACGCGATCACCCTCACCACATAAGAAGAACCAACCCAAGTCATTCCACGCCATACAACCGCACACATTATACATATTATGGATTTGTGGAAAGTAATGAATCTTTATTCATTGTTGATTGTTAGTCGCGGTTGCAACCTAAAGTGTTTCCATTGTCTCAGTTTTGCAGACAAAAAGTATTGTGTGCAAAATTCTTTAAATCACAAGTCGCGTCGTTGAGCACTTCATATTACAAATAGTGCAATTTCATTGACCACTAAAAGAGGTTAATGTGATGATGGCACAAACAGCACTTACATAAACTGGAGTGAAATGCGATTAGAATTTCTGAGATATTTTGCACAGTTGCGTTTACTTGTGACCATATTTATTATTATCTACGTGAACCTATAACATTTCTATTTTATTAACTAGTGCTTTAGTGCGTCCCAATTTTTCGGGGCATTTTATATGCTTCAACAACTCATAAACCCACAACTTTAACAGGTTGACGTGTCGTAGTTGTGTGTAAAAAATGGGATAACCAAGACGGAATCCATTAATCAACCAAGTGTAAGAAACCTCAAAACCAAAGTTGAGTTTTTAAAAGACTATTTGGTGTGCGGATATATCTGCCAAGAAACCAACTAACATAAAAAATGGCAGTTTCTAGTGGAATTACACGAAGGAGTTTTTGCTATGAAAATCTTTTACTTCACATTAGACAAAAATAAGACCCACGTTAACATCCCAAACCATAAATGTAAACAAAGTGCATGCATTTTCCGGTTCAGTTCTAAAAATGTTGTAGCATGTCACTTGTACTTCAACTCGGAAAAGTGTTCTGCTAAAAGCTATGTAATGAGATGCTAACCAGCCGAAAGTCAGCCACCGCAGTCTCAATTAACTGCGCTTCCTAGCTTGAGGAATATGTATAAGTGCATACATTGTTTTGCGTGAGATTTTTCAAAACCAAATAAAACATTGAATAAGTTATACGACCATATTTTCTATCGTTTTCTTGACAATAAATCTGATGGGCGTGTGTCTTTGTGAAATGGGAACGAATTTATTGTGCGGCCATGTTTAATTGTAATAAGAAAGTGATAAAATAAGTTTAAGAGTCGTAAGACTTTTGTGCTATTTCGTAATAATTGCATATTGTGTCCATTTTTGTACTAGTGTTAAGGATTACTACAATTACTACCTCGCACCTATGTACATATGTTCGGAAGGGCAAATTCATAAAGGCCGGGTAAGCTCATTTTGTGTTGTTGAATTCTGTAAGTAGTCTGACATATAGTCTGTAAAAGTGGTGAACAATGAGGTTGCGTCATACGTATTTACCCAACAATCTATAACCATGTGTCCTGTTACGTTATGGTCGTTCGAATTACCGAAAAACTTTGTACAAATATCTAAAAGGGCTCCCTGTTTCATTATGTCGAGTTAAAATTCAATTTTTCTCAATTAGGTACATAAATAGGTTCGCAAATTAGGGTTTAATTCACATTTTTTTTCACAAGGAACGTTTATAGGGCAAGCTCAACGTGAAGTTTGTTGATGGTGGGTCTAATGATGAGGCACACAATTAAGGTGGTTAGTTATTCTCATTAAGTTGATAATCTGCACCCCAATGAAAATGGATTCACTAAGGTTAGGAACCTTCCAAGCCAGCCCAGGTGGTGGACATTCGATATTGTTTCGTTTACAGGCGCAGATTTTCTTGCAAGCTGATCATTCTCATGGTGCGCAAATACATACGTAGCACACCTTGTTACTATAAAGCAGAATCTAGTTTGGTCGCTTATTATAATGCGTTCCGCAGTGTTTTATAGTGGACATGCACTCAAGTTGCAGGGCCAGTTTATTCACATACGTGTTATCATCATCTTCTAAAAAGGAAATGATTACAACTTTAGTCTCCTTAACATTACGCAAATTTTGAATTTACAATGACAATTGTTGAGCTGGACGATGAGCCATTAATAATTCGATGCATATGCAAATGTACCTAATCCGTGGGTACATGTGTACATATGCATTTTATCATATGAATGTAGAGCGTCGACTTTAAGCAGTTTCAATGTTGTTGCACTACTTATTTAAATATGTGTGTACATATGCACAAAGTTGCTTTATTTCTAGATTAAACCCCTTAATTGTGCAATATAGATTTTTTCAAAATCTGTTCCCTGGGTTGAAATTGGGAACACGAAAAATATGGAGGTAGAGATTACCATATAGTTGACACCAAGAATTAATGAAACCAGACTTGAAACTTGAAAGGTGGATTGATTGACAAAGATGGATGGAAAGAATTGTGAGCACCGACCCACCGTCTTATTTGATGACTGAAGGAGATTCGCAGAATTCAATGACAAATTCAATACTCCATTGAATTTATGTGGCTGCACACTTGACACAATTTATCTGAATTGACACTTTCACTTCTCGATGGTAGTTCAGTTATTATCAAAAACTATTTATATTATGCCGTGCATTTCAATTCTTGCAGTTTGTTTGTTGGTGCAGGACTTTGGTTGCATCGTAGTTTTTGTCAACCCTAAATTCATTGACCATGCATGCAACAAGCACTCATAAAAACTAATTAATAATCACTCTGCTAAAAGCGTAGTGCTTGCATATGTTTCTAATATGCAAACATATTTCTTTATTAAAATTAATACGTCTATAAAAACTGTTTGGGCGGCCCACGACGATGATGACCACATGCAATCGTATACATGCATATATCTACGTATTATGGGCTTCGATATCATGTATGAGGATCCACAGAGAGATGACTTTCGATGAGAGATGTTAACCTTAATTGGCTAAATTTATGGTGGCAATTTTTTACTCGTGTCATTTTCAGTTATCTAGTTAGCAATTACAAAGCCATCAAACTAATTCGTACCAATACATGCATGTCGGATGCATTGTTGTGCTGATGAAACCAATTGCAAACTCATTCATTGTCATTGATGGAGAATTGCAGAAATTCTCGCCAAATAAATATACAGCTTCCATTGTCAACAGGATAGGGATAAATCAGCCGACACAGCAGTTTGATTATGAGGCAGTTGATTTACGAGATTTCATTGTATAAATTACTTATATGGCAATCTGCGTGTCTGTGTGCTTTGCAATACGTAGAATTCCATCCAATAAAATCAACATTCTTGTCTAATTCCTCAATTTTAAGGATCACAAAACTCGTAGTTCTATTGGTTTAGATGGCAGAATTATGCGTACACAGACAGAATGCATCGTTTCTTTGATCTTGGTTTCACATACATAGTTTGTAGTAGCTTGGTCTACCCGTTTTAAAATTGATAAATTGCTTCCAATATACCGTCAAAATTGATGGTTTCATTTGAAACATGTCAGTGCAGGAGTTCAACAACAGAAGAAAAGTCATTAACTTTTTGCCTCACATCATCTAACCAGTCATCGAAATTTGTGCATGCTAGGCAAAGAAATGATGGATTTTCACAATGATAATTTTCAATCCATAAAAAATTGCTCATATTTCCATTTTAAAAAGATGCGTAATAGAACATTGGATTGTAGAGGAGTGGTCATAAAGTGCATTACAGTAATATAAATGACTATTCAATGCAATCTTTTGTATGCCACATGGACTAGGAAAATAATTCAAAGGGTTTACATTGCAACTGTTTTTCAATAATATGCACGTAATATTTTATTTGTGACTATACTTTGATGTTGAAAACAACAAATGACGAATACTGAACCTTCGATGAACTTGTAAAATTATGAAGAATTTTAATTTTATGGGGGGAACAGGCGTGTTCAACTAAAAAACAAAAGTTTACAAGTCTCAACCTCGCCTCTATATCTTCTTGAACCTTCATTCATCTCGTTGTTAAGTTTTTCTATGCAAATGGAATTTTGACAGCAAAATTCACGAAGAATGAAACCTTAGTCAGAGCCTGTTCAATTGTCCAACTTTGGTTATGCATACATTGCATCACGTCGCTTCTACTGCAATCTATGGCGTGGCTCTCATTCTTTACAACTTTTTCATTTCCATATAATATGAACTACTGTTGCTGCTGCTGCATTTTATCTGTTTACGAGACGGGAAGAGTGGAAAATGCAACAATAATTATAATACTCCCGTGATATATCAAACCCACTTAGGTATCCTCTACACAAAACCCTACAAATCCCACCCACAACACGAAAATGAAAACTTTGAAACTCAAATTTGTCTAGTAATCTGATGCAGTTCCACACGTTTCAAAATATTCGTAAAGCTTGCCTTCAGGATTGGACGGATTGCATGTTCATGTACCTTTTCCTCGACTACTTATCTACTGTAGCCCTGCAACTGCCTCAAGGTTTGTGTATGTATTCTTCTCGAGAATCGGTTTCTGGTAAAACACGACTTCTTAAACACCTTGTTGTTACATGTTCCAAGACTGTTCACCACGTTACATTGCACACCATTGAGCAGTGCACAGTAAAGGGTTGGTTCAGTTGGTTGATAAGGACAATGGAAACGTTTCTCAATGTATCTCACTCAATGAGCCGGTGTCTCACAATGGCTTAAACACCCAGAGTTTGTATACATACGAATGATGGGAGTTGAGTCAAAGGGTTGATGAACCGAGAGAATCATCCCACTAGTCATCATCAGTTAAATATGTTTGACTCTCACCTCCTTAAGCCAGCACTTCATTGCTCCGTCTGTCCCTCCCAAACATGCAGAGCTCATCTTTAAAGAATGTGCATACACACGGTTTGAAACAAAGACCTTGGTTTTTGTGTGTGCAAAATTACAATAATGTACGAGTACGTACAGTATGCATGCGCGTATGTACGTATGTGTGTCCAATCCAACAAAATCCATGTGCACCATTCGAATTTTACATGTATGTGCACGTAATGTGAATATATTATGTATTTTAAATCGCCATAAACAATATTCTTATGTCTCATTCGTATGAAGACGAGTATTTAATTCCCATTGTTATTTGACAAGTATTGCACCCATTGAAAATTCCTTCTTGATGTTGACCAAGATATTCCATTTTAGAGATTAAAATCACAAAATTTATAACCAATGTAGAAATCATTGATGAAAAATAATGTGAACCAGGAAGAAAGCTGAATTCTCCACAAGGAACTTGTGTAGGTTGCGCATGGCTTCATACTCATTGGATTATTAGGCTTTGTTGGTGGTGTTTAGGTCCGTGGAGCATTACTTTTGCCTGTGCTTACACTTTCCTGCTTCCACGTGAGTTTGGGGCTTGGATTAGATTCCAGAGGCAGTGCTTTCACTTCAACAAAGCTACCATCACTATCACACCACGACGACAACAAACCAGGGTTTCCGTTCTCCATCCAGCCCGACTCTCTCCCTACCGAAATTCGGGGCAAAGTGGCATTCTCTAGGTTGAGTTGCCGTGAATATATAAGAGAATGGCTCCTCCATGTGGAAGATATCACTCGGTGTCGGTAGCTCAACAGGGAACCACTTCCTTCGTCGGTTGAAGAAAGTCATCTGTCTGCGTCTCAAAACCATTTCATTCTTCATCCCACACACAAAACTTATGTGCCGTGTGTGCGTAGGAGAAATCTCTCGACTTGACTTCAGACAAGTGAGCCCCAATCCACTCGCTCTCAATTGCAAAGGAATTTTCACAGATTGACTCGAACTATTCTGATCGGATTTTTGGATCTCACTTTCCTCCAATCCCAACAAGTACGGATAGACAACTTGTTCACACACTCGACTTTCACAAGTGCAAGTGTTTAATCCGACGATATTCCGTTTTTGCGATCTACTATATTCGCGTTACTGCTCCTTGGCTGGCTTTGTGTGATCAATCAATTTTCACGGATGGACGGGGGCGATGGAACAAATACGAAATTCATTGTGAAAGGAGTGTGCTTGAACATGATTTGAAGTTGAGAGATGATGGAAAAATGACGGCCCTGTTACACATGTCACTGTTCACCTCGACTACTGTTTGCCATTCCACAAGTACTCTATAGTACTTAACTAGAGCACTGTTCTACATATGCGTATATCCACTCTGACAAAAACTTTGTGTTTAAAGAACTTGTGAGGCGAACATCATAGAAACTGGTAAAAAAATTTGTTGCCACGTAATAACTTTACTTTCTGGCAAAGTTGGCTCTCTAACCAATACTGACGTGAAGATATCCTGCTGAAAAGTGGTAAGCTGAGACTACTCAACAATTAATTTAGCAATGCAT